CTACCTTTTAGCAACTGTTTCACGTTGAGACTCCATAAGAATAAGACTTACAGAAAATCTTGGTTACAGTATAAATAACGTATTTTAAGCGTTTCATTTACTTTCAATGTCGACCCTAAAATATTCTCTTAGGCCTTCTGACACATAAATGCCGGTAGTAATAATGATATTTACCCCTACAATATAGAATTATTCAACCAAAAATTTTCAAATTATTTTTATTAATTATTTCTTAGACAAAATTTTGTATTCATTGTAATGTCTAGGAAAGTATTTTGAGCGCTCTACTGGGACTTTGTTGCCATCTTACCGCTTGAGATATTGCACATGTTAATTCTGAAAAAAAAAACAAACAAACAACTTTACAACAACAACAACAACGGTTGCTGCCTAGGGCAGGGGATGGGGGTTGGGGTGGCGGCTTGGTAGGAAGGTAAGCTACCCGAAAAATTTCTTTGTAATGCTGACCGAGGAAGTTAGATGACAAAAGTATCACTTACGTTTCGTCTTTAACTCCTATGACATGACTTAGAGTCCTATTTCTTTTCTTAAGTTTCCTTTTCTTTCCAGGTATCTTCCTGGGCTGAGTTGCTCAAAGCATGGTTAGCTTTAGCCATTGGTTAAGCAGTATCAAAACAAATACGTTGTCAAGGTATTAAACGCTGGTTAACGCTAACCATGCTTCCAGCAACTGGGCCCTGGTCTCCGATTTAATCTCAAAAACATAGCTGCATATCTTGCAAGAAAACACTTTTTAATTGAGTAAATTCCTGTCACCAAGGCTACCAATCAACTGACACTCCGGGTAAAGAGGCCTTCGTTAACAGGGAACGGAACTACAGCAAATGATATTAACTCAGTTTATGGTCAAAACAATAAAGATCCCTTGTTTCCCGTTTTGCCTTTGAAACTTTTCATTTAAGGTGTCTCACAGCAGGCACATCAATACATACAGTCAGGGCAGATTACTGGTTTACTGAATTGCGCCGGTCCTGACTCCATTTGTTTGAGAACATTTATCTACTACAAAGAATAGATTTAACTAAAAGATTTACGAAACAGAAAGACATTTGGAACTCTGGTAACAAATCAATTACAGGTAAAAGACACCTTCTTAATTACCCTTATAAAATGATTGAGGGAATATTAAACTCCGGGTTAAAGTACGTATTCCTTATGTGGGTGGACAACTATCATGTCTGCAAAGTTGCAACGTGTGAATGTAAATCAGCCCAAAACAATATTCCGTACAGGAAGGATATGATTATCCCGACCTATACAAAAGCACAAAAACACAGGCTCTGAACTCCAATGAAGAAATAATGAGAATCCATCCCTTGGGAAACAAGTCCGGCCGTTTTGCAAAGCTAATTTTGAAATGTGTGTTCATTACATATATGTGCTTCAATTAAACCATGCGTGTTATTTTGAGATTTTTGGAAATAGGGCATTGTGAGGTACGTTTTGTCTGTGCCTGTAAACTCCGACACAGAATGTGCATTCATCATGAATCTCTGGACTAACTGCTCTCGTTTTTTAATCGACATTTCAGCCCTTTGTTGTATATTAAGGTAAAAGTAGGCCACCTGAAGTAGTAATATTATAAGAAGTTGTAATAATCAAAGTAAACTGAACTTCTTTTCTGTCATTTTACAACATTGCAATTGAAGAAGAAAATTGAATGGGCGCTAAATACTATCGAGATATTTTTATTCAGGTATGATTAGGACCTTTGTTATGATTTCAGCGTAAAACTGTGGCAGTCCTTTTTTATTCTGTGCCAGCGAAACATTATTACATGTACCATATTCTCTTCCTTGCAGTGTCTCGAAGTGAGTCGCTTGCCATGTCATTTATAGTGAAGGTGATGGTGCTTATCTGGTCTCTTAATCTATCTTTTCATGTTAGGTAAGAGTAATTAAAAATCCATTTTTAGAGATGTACTCGCATAGCCGTATTACTTACGTATAAGATGTCCAGATGCGACATCAGTTTCCGACAAACGCACGGGTCTTATGTGACACGAGTAGGGATAACTCGTTCGCGGTCTTGTTACGACAAGTTTGCTTTGACCATTTGTAAATTGCGTTAAGCTTAATTTACATCAAAATATTGTTTCCTTTTGTGCACGTCTCATTGACGGAAACATTTAGCGTGCATTCAGGTTCCAGTAACGTATTACTAAATGTTAACGTCAGACGTAACAGCTAGATGAAAAACGTCTGATAATCATCCAAGTCAAAATCCCACCTGATTTTAGCGCAAGTTTCTGCAGTAGCTGTCACTAACAAACATGTTAGTTTTTACGCAAATTTCTGCTAAAAATGGTTACGTAGTGGTTTCCAACTCCCGCCTCCACTGACGACCAAGATGGCGGCTTCCACGCAATCGCCAGGTCGGATTAAGTAACAACTGTGCGTTTACAAAAAGTTGATTAACGCGAGAAATGGAAAGAAAATAAAAACGCGCTATTTAAATTTAAAAAGAGTTTAAATGAACATTTTTTTTTTTAGGAAAATATCATTAAAAAATAAAAATGGTAAACGAGAATAAATTAAGATAGAATGCTAAGTTGTAAGAGGCAAACTTAAATTAATCAATTAAAACTGTAAACTTTTCTATTTATATTCTTAGACCTATTTATATAAATCATATGTTATCCGAGCAAATATTTTTAGCCATAGAAAACGTTTACCAAACGTTTTCTCATCTCGCCCGACCAGGATAAACACGATCTCTCATTCTAATTTAGAATTTTAAAGGAGCTACTTCATTAACTATACCCTCTATTCCACCAAAAAAATAGGGCAAAGTAATTAGTGTTACAAGTCTCCTTTAAGAATTACTGAATATTCAACATATTAATTCTACAGTTTTTCTTTTTTTTTCAGCCATGCTTTTACCACCAGGAACATAACAGGATCAAGCTACAATTATAGTACAACAACGTTACTGCCAAGAACTAAATCACTCTCCACCTCACTGAAGTCTTTATTCACCACCAAGTAAGTGTTGTGTTGTCGTTGTTGTTTTGTTTTTGCGTTTTCTAGGCAAAAGATCGAAATTTTCGTTAAAGCGACCAAGGCTACTAATGCGACAAGTGCCTTGACTGATAAAAAAAACCTGATTTTGGCATTTTGGCTAGGTGCTTCCTAATACAATAGGAGGTCGAACGTGCGTGAATTTCAATTGGCAACTGAAAAAGTTTCTATCCCCTTGTTATTAGAAACGGCTATGGGCTGCCACGTTATCAAGTGTTAGCGATATTCAATGATGCAATTTTCTTTATCTTTGATTAAACATGCCGCCTAATGGTACTATGACATTCAGCGGAGTTCAAGACCAAATTTACAATTAAACGAAATGAAGTGAAGCCTGGTATTAATGCGGTACAAGCAGAATAGTACTCTCCCCAATTATGGAGTTAATGTTTAACAATGGATCTGAAAAATTATGGAAAGATCAAAAAATAAACTAACCCACATCTTGTGCATGGCTTTGCTGGTGATGAATGCTGGTGGCTGAATATAGTTTGATAGATTGTGGATAGTCGCCATTCATTAGGGTGTTATTTAAGACTCGTTGCAGGTTATAAAGTTCAAATTTGGCGGGGAAAAATATACTTCTGAGAAATAACGTTACAACGTTTAACATAGGATTTCAATCATTGCCATGGCAACATGGTTAATTGGTATTAAACCTAAATTTTGAATTTATTAGCGTAAGCAAAATCCAGTCGTTAGGGTTACGAATGACTCCTTAATTTTGGCGCGAAATGTCAGCGTTAATTTATAATTTCACAAGCGCATGGCGACCTCCGTTAGTCTCAGTGCCAAGATAGCTACAAAGTTTTAAAATTCTATGAATGACGTTGACAGGGCATTAGAGGACGCTCTAGGAAACCTAAACACACAAAATAGCACAGTAAAAAGGATTCTAACAGGTATTTTGTCAAAAAATTCTGAAAGTTCTGAACTTGAGGCAAATTTGTATAGGCAATAGTATGATTTGTAGTGATATTCAGTTGGCATAAATACCACGAGTTATATTTCGAAATTGTTATACGTAACTTCACGAGCCGTTAGGCGATTGAAATTTGGGACAACTTTGAAATATCTTGAGTGGAATTTATGCCAGATATCACGTACAAATCATGCTATTATATGTTTATACTACTACCCGCAAAAGGTTTGTAATTTTCACATGTAGGTATTTCAAATTAAGCTGAAATACCACTGTTCTAAGCCAATCAAATTGAAGAAACTTCCCATGTAGTAGTATAACACGTACGAATTTACAATTTAACTCAACTAAGAAATAGCTTTCATGAGAAACTTGATCACTCACTTCGTTTCGTTACGGCCATTTTTCTAGTTCCACGAGCATCAAGCTAAATTCGCAAAGAAAGTACATCACCCTACTCGCTTCTTTGACAAAGTGGACTCGTTTTTAGCTACCGTCACGCTTAGTGATGCTCATCAAGCAGCCACTAAAGATGAAAAATTGACCTAAGCTTACCAAAAATCGCCTGCCAACCAAACTTCAGCCGTTATTATAGCTCAACAAAGCAAAATGACTACGTCAGAATGACGTTTCCAGAAAACTCGATCGTTTAGTGCTTTAGAACAGCAGCACTTTCTATGGTAACCCCATATACGGAGTCACGTAATCCTATCCATTGGAAATCTCACTCGAAACCGTAAAAAAGTCTCTGGCGTCAATGGGTTAATACGTATGCTCGTCACTGATGAGCGCGCTGAGATCACGTGATACGTCGAAGGCAGAAAAGCAGAACAAATTTCTACCGACAACTCTGGGCAACTTTCTCAGCTTATGGTTGCATTTTTGGAAAGTCTATTACCTTGAGTTCATATCCCCCATGATAAAGATGTTGACATATACAGTAACAAGATAAAGCTTTTCTAGAGAGACTGTGTTCAGCCACCTCATTGCTAACTTTATTATTGAAACTAAACCTTGCCGTTTTATTATTCGATAGGAATCCTAAACACGACGCACCAAGGTACAATAACACCGAAGAGGTGAAACCTGCGAATACACCTCCATGGTATGTTTGTGAGTTCCTTTAGATAAATATGACCTCTCAAGGAAAAAGGGTTATTAATCTTGTACTATGAAACTATTTTGTTACTAAGTGTCCAAACTATTATTGCTTGTTTTTCTTAAGATACATACTAGCGGTCTTTTTCCAGATTTGGCGTAAAACTCTGGAATGAGATACCATGTAACATGCGAAATCTACCCAAGAAAGAATTTAAAAGAGAAATTCGCCCACTTCGCTTAGATATTTTAGTAAAAGAAAATGACTATATGGACCGAAACACCTTTTATCATACAATAAGTTGGTGCGGCTAAATAATTATGATTTTTCTTAAATGTTTCAATTGATTTTTCTCTTCAACCTCTAAGTCGTTAGCGTTTCCTTGACTTTTTCTTTATGTATAATGATACTAATTTAAATTTATTTATGTGATATTATTTATTTTAAAAGTTAAACCCTAACCCTCAGCTTTTCTTCTGTCCCGCCTAGATTAGCTTTTGCTACCTGAGAGACATTAATTAATTAAAGTTAAATCTTTCAATAAAGTTATGTTGTTGTTGTTGTTGTTGTTGCTGTTGTTGTTGTTGTTAAAGGGCCGTTTTCAAATACATGGGTAAATTTTCACTTAATTTTCATATAAAGTAGGTTGTTAAATGTTGCTACGGACCGACAATTACGTTGTAATTTGCCAGTATGACAATAATGGTACCGTAATAGTATGACATTGAACACCTAAAAGTTATACTGCACGATTGCTATAAAAGTAATTTTTTTCCTTTGTTAGGGAATTTCAGCTGCGGTACGAGGAGCTGGTGATACCAGGACGAAATGTTTCCGACGTACTAGAGATTGTATTTAGGAATTATGACAAGAGAATTCGTCCTTTCTATGGAGGTAAAAAATCCTTAAACAACTTTACTTTTATTTAAGGTATGTTTGATGTAGTAAATAACATAATTTTTTTTTCCTTATTTCAGTGACAACTCTCGATGTTGGCCTGGACATGTTAATTTTGTCTTTTGGAGAGATAAGTGAAACGAGTATGGTAAGTTAGGCAACGAGGAAAACAATTCCTAAATCCTCTTGCAAACGGACGCAAAATTTTTCTTGGACGCAACATTGTTGGCCAAACCCAACGATTCCCAAAGTAAGTATCGTTGGATGTTATATAGCGCGTCTGTTTGCATGCACACCCTATTGCATGTTGTTACAAGTTGTTGCGTGTTGTTGGGAGTAGTTGCTTCCATTTGCACGTCGCCTTAAGGTGATGTTACACGGGACGATTCGCAACGACGATTTTTAGCGAAACACAGCGTTGCAATGTTGGAACAACGTTGTAACTATTCAAAACAATGTCGCAACAATATTGCAACGATGTGTTGTGCTAAAAATCACCGTTGAGAATCGTCCTCGTGTAATATCACCTTTATACAGATCGCGTTGTGTGCCCAAGAAGAGGTGACATCCCATATGACGGGTCGACATAAACCCAGGTTTGTAGAACCCCACGTGCCCAACCTCGGATAAGTTGTCGGTTTAATTCCCGTACGTCGTGAACTCCTTCATCGGCCATGATCGTGGAAAAAGTTAACAAGAAATTTTATCACTGGTTCTACAAAGTCAGAAACAAGGGATTCCTGTTTCTTGATTGGAGCCCGTGAATTCCAAGAAATTAATCAGTAAATAGTTGATCAGTAAGCCCATCGTGGTTTTTCGCAGTTTCCGGTCCAACGTCCCCCCGTCCCCACTAGTCCCATTGCTATAATCAGCAAGCACTTTTCTTTGCTGTTGGATACGAAGACATTACACAGGATCAGTAATGAAGCTCAAACTGAGATATTTAAGTTTGCAGTTAGTATTTCATGACCTCGTTAACTTATCAAGCACAAAGGAAGCGAATAATGATTATCCTTGTTTTCATTTTTACTTCATTCTAGGATTTTGAGGTGGACCTATACCTTGGTCAATTTTGGCAAGACCCTCGCTTAGCTTTTGGAATTAATAGAACAATTATCCTGGGAGGAGCAGCATGTGAAAAGTTCTGGTTACCTGATACCTTCTTTGTCAATTCAATTGACACTAGAATACACAGAATGGTCTTCGCAAACAAGAAAGTTTGGATAAATTTGATTAATGGGACTATGATGCTCAGTGCAAGGTAACGATTCAGATTGTTAATAGGAAGATAAATATTAAGACACTGTAAGTGAAAATCACGTCACAATTTTTAAAAAAGGGGATCTCGATATCACGGTAGACTTGATGCTTCATCAAAAGAACCTTTACAATCGAGATTTTCAAAACATCACTGACAATGGTTTTTCGGATTGGGTCCTTGATCAATCGCCTCATTTCGGACGAAATGGGGACTATGTCTATCCCTCGAAATATCTCAGTTGTTGTTAACAATTTACCAAAAATTTCAGGAAACTTTGGCAGTTCATTTTTGTTTGAGAATCCATTTTGTCACGGCCATTAGACACGACCGAAAAAGCACAAGGTTCTCAGGTACTGACGACAACGACGAAAATATGGTGCGCGATTAGTTCCAATCGGAATTCTCAGCAGGAGAAAGGAACTATACAAGTTTGGAAAATACAGCCTGCTTAAAAACCCCGGAAAGTTACCAAAAATGTTAGTAAGCAGACTTAAGATAATCTTTTAAAAAATTTGCCGAAATTTTGATCGGTGTCGAATGAGTATGTTCTCTTTACTTTCACCAGGCTTGTCACGAAAAACTCATGTAAGCTAGACCTAAGAGACTATCCTCTGGATAAGCAGACCTGCCATCTGGCTTTTGAAAGCTGTAAGTAAAGTTAAGCACTATACTTATTCCAGCTGTGTATGGCATTGATTTAAACTCTAAAAGCAATAGCATTCTTTAGAACGGATTGCAACTTAAAGAAGAGAGGATAGAATAAATTAAAGTTATTACGGAAAATGCATGGAAATTCTTGCAAAGTTATCTTGGCTCATCCGGCTCGATTTTTATTCGATTTTTTTTTATTATAATTGTTTTAGTTTCATATGAAGAAAAAGATTTGAAGTACAAATGGAAATCCGAGGTGGAAAGTGACATCTTTATTTACGACAAGGAAATGGCACAGTTTGACATCATCAGCGCGAAGAGATACCTGAAGCACAAAGTCTATCATTCTAGTAAGAATTTAATTCCCAAACATTTGTCAAGGAATTGAAGGAAATAAATTAAAGTTTCTTCACCAAATGAATAAAGAAGAGAGGAACACAAAAAGGTCCAGATATTACGGGTCAATACCATAAGATACCGGCGTATTACGACCTCGAGAAAAGCTGCTGGGCAGAGGAAAGAATGTCCCCTTCCTAATTCCAAATCCAATGCTTAACTTTTCCTGAAATCTGGTATTTAAACTTCTGAGATCCTTTCTGAAAACAGCATTAAAAGAATGCATTGGATGGTTCATCTAGTGTGACGCTTATTTTCAAAGGGTGTATGAACAAAGGGTCAACATGTCTACATTCGTCGAGTAAGGAGCGACGCGGTCCTTACTCGTGTTTATATTACTATTAAGTCTTTTAATTAGAGAAATGTATGCTAGCCTTCAGTTGTACGCTTGTCAGGCAGAAATACATATAGTTTCCTGGAATTAACGTTACTTATTTACCACACGATTGTTATAAGAGCTATCTTAACCGCTGGTTACATTTTTACAGGCACCTTTTCAGGTTTGACGGCCACTATGATATTTCGACGACGATCCATGTATTACATCTTCCAAATGTACATTCCCTGCGTGTGCGTTGTGGCTCTCTCTTGGGTTAGCTTCTGGATCAATCACGAAGCTGTCCCTGCTCGTGTAGCGCTCAGTATTACCACAGTATTGACTATCAGCTACATGCGAGGAAGTGTTAATGCAGGAATGCCTCGTGTGTCCTACTTGAAGTCCATCGACTATTTCCTCCTAGGCGGTTTTGTCTTCATCTTCATGACGCTGCTGGAGTATGTTTTAGTGCTCAAGCAGTCTCGCAAGTTGCAGGAAATTAAAGAAAAGAAAACTGACTACGAGATGGGGAGTCCAACTGGAGAAGATACGGTAAGAAGTGTTCACTCAAATTTTAGAACAAGATATCCATCAGTAGCCTACAGTAAAAGAATGCACTTTCCTTGAGTGTCAATGTATTAAGCACTAAAAGTACTCTACTACTGGGGACAGGACCGCCATTTTATATAGCTTGGTCATCCGAACCACGCGAAGGTCTAGGCCGGCAGCCCAGCTCTGCCAAATGAATCAATCCTGCCGCTACTAGTTCTATTTCCGTTAATTTTAGGCCGTTCTTTGTAACCTTGCTTACCTTCACATTTTTTCAGGATCGGAAGCCGTTACTGGTTACGGTTGCCGTCGATGGTAAGAGTTACAACTTTAAACATCGTTTCGAAGATATGGAAAACGGAGACAGTTACCATGCCAAACGAAAGTTCTCAATACACGAACGTAAACGAAAGCAAAGCCTAGCCGCACGTCTAAAGCCCTTATTTGGCAAGAAGAGAAGGAAAGAAAGCAAAGGCGGCCTTAAATTAATTAAACAGAGGTTCAGGTCTGAAAAAGGTGTTCATTACTTGGATCAATACTCACGAATTCTTTTTCCACTTGGATATATCGCCTTCCTCACCACATACTTTGTCATTTACATGGCGTAGCCGAGAGCCTAAGATGCAGAGTGGTGTTGATTAGTCTTTTTCAACACCCCTGGTCCATGGTCACGTACATGTACACAAGTACGTTCATTGCCTCAGAGGCAGGTAGAGACGTGTCATTTGAAAGAGGCTTGCTTTGGAAATATGGTAGACAAAGACGGCGGCAAACGCAGGATATTACGCACTAGTCTGTTGGCAGCTTACTGAGAAATTTTGGAATATAACCATGTAAAGAACATATAATTCTTCTGTAGCCGATATGATATCCTCGAGTACACTAATTTCAACTTTGCATGCATTACACAAACTTAAAGCAGTGGAATTAGTTTTTCGATTTATACGCCATGACACAAATGTCCTCTGTTCATAATAACACTGTCAGTGACTCCAATGGACAACAAAACTGAATTAAAAAAGCAAATAAAACTCAGGAATCAGATTAACCCCTCTAGCCCCACAGTGACGGAAACCACAATTTCACTGGTAAGAGACACCACATCTTCATTAGGTCGACACCTCTCCTTAACAGGCAATCACGAGGGTCAAGTGGATTCACTGTGTGTGGTTATGTTCACATCGTAATACTGAAACTTTTCTATTCAAAATGAAACATTTGTGTTTAACACAGAATGAATTATGCGTATATTTTTATAACTGTATCATAGAATATACCCGAACTGAATGTTAAGATAAGGTTTAGGTTGTACTAGTTGACAAAGAACATCTTGACAGCATCATCCAAGATTGATGATTGTGAGGCCATAGATACCTCTTGCGTCATTAACTTTATTATATACATACTGAGAAATACACACCAAAAAGCTATGTCGCAAATTTTCGTACGCAAATTAGTTCTAGCCAATCAGAGGAGCGAACGATGTTTTTCACACGTGAAAAAAATGATACTTCCAATCAGAATCGCGAACGATATTTTTTCACGTGTGAGAAAAATGATACGTCCAATCAGAAGCAACAGAGGTGTGGGAGTTTCGCGCCAAAATTCCCGCCTTTTATTTCAGCTTGCAGCGCCGCTTCGCACACATTCAAAGAGAAAAGTTTTACTCAAAGAGTTTTTCTCACTAAAAAAATTGAAAAACATTTCGGAAATGGAGTGGAATAGTTTCGTTTGTTTCACTGTCGATAAAGAAAAAGGTATGAGCCGGCGAAACAACAGCGGAAAGGGAAAAACAGAACGAGACGTAAGCTTTTGTTGTACTTTTTGTCGGAGCTACTTCGCCTTTCATTTATGCTTAAGCTTATATTGAAACCGGCCATTTTACTTAAATTCAATTGTGCATTGAGAACAAACAGTTAAGATTACTTATAGTTCTTGGATTACCTCATATCCTTACCGTCATTCATGTTTTTAACAAACGTTTTTACTAAAAACCTGATACTTCGTTTTCGTTGTCATTTCACCGTAAGTGTATAGCGGCAAATTTTAGCATTTTTGAAAGATTTAAAATAAAAAGGCCGCCAAAATGATGAATGTCTCAGTATGTATATAATAAACACAATACCACATGGAAAGTGCTTTGTACGGTATTTACGCACTCGTTGTTTTTGTATCAGAAATCTTACTTGTTCGCTGCGCTCACTCGTTCGATTTCTGATACGTCAACAACTCGTGCGTAAATACCGTACGCCAGCACTTTCCATGAAGTATTCTCTATGTATTACGGGTCATATCAATATACAACTTGCACGGTGGATAGTAAGGTCCCATGCAGAATGTGTAAATCTTGCGCCAGCATTAATCAAATCAAATATATGCACACTGCGCATAATAACCTTACGGAGGACACCATTAAAAAGAAGACGTATTAATTTGTATTTCGCTTATTGCTGACTGAACAATGAATAATAAACGCTTAATAGGCAGGGGTGCCACAACAGCGGTGAGCCAATTACAGTGGTCCCAGAGCTTAAAATATATGTATTAGAAACAGTAAAACTTCGTATCACAATAGAGATGGACAGACAAGTCACGTGAAACGTTACATGAAGGACAAATGGTTTTCTAGGATCGTGGGTTCTCTGGGTCGTTGTTACGTTCTAAGGCATCCACGTAGTACTTGTACATTATGGATTTGCCGAATTGGCTGATGTGAAGGTTGCATGAAAGTTGAAGGTCATTTGCATTGCTAGCGTGTTTCAGATTCTGGTGGTTCTATTAAAAAAAGACAGACAGTATTACATTCCCTTGAAATAAAGTGAGTGAGATGACGGTTGCTGTTAGATCTGGTAGTGCGAGTAACTAAGACTTGCGGGAGAACAGAGGGACTAACTCTAACTGTGCCGGTTACAACTTTGAAAAAGAAAATCATGTCTAAAAACTCGGGCCAATATGAGATTGGTAATACCTTAAAGTTAAGATTCATTGGTCTGTCCCTATGTGTTTGGTCTCAAATGAATGGTAGATCCAGGATATACTTTGTAGCGCGCCTCTGGACACGTTCGAGCTTTATAATCAGGTCTATTGACTGCGGAGTCCAGACTTGCTTAGCATAGCCAAGATGGCCGGAATCTTACTGGGGTAAGGTATGCCAAGCGTCTAACAGTAATGCTTTTGACGAGTCTGGTGTTTCTCCGTACATATCCCAGGAGCTAGCCCGGGAACGGCAGACGCTTCTCCTCGCTCATCGCCGCTGAGGGATGTTTCGCGAGGAGGAACGTCTGCGACTCAGCGACAGAAATTCTATACTGATGACGTAAATCAATGTTTACATAATAAATCCGGTAGTCATGGGGTTCCAAACGCAAATTTGTTCAATCATATGTTTCTCCTGGTCGATTTTGGTGAAGTGTTGTGTTCATCCGCGAATGAGCGCCAGCAAAACTGAAATGCTTCTAGAGAAGACTACATTCCACAAATATTGGCTGTTTTGTTAGAGATTCATCGCGTTTACATTTGACCTTTGCGGCCTTTTGTCTTTTGTCTGTCATTCGTAAACAATAGCTAAAACAATAAAACTACTCTGTCGACCAATTAGCTCTTCTGACCGGATTCCGGACAGATTTTGCGTCATCAGTATGGAATTTCTGTCGCTGAGTCGCAGACGTTCCTTCTCGCGAAACGTCCCCCAGCGGCGATGAACGAGGAGAAACTTCTTCCATTTGCAGGCTACCCAGGAGCCTGCTGGCCTTAGCGCATTGCACATTGACTTGCTTATTCCACGTGAGGTTATCCATGATGTAAACACCAACTGAAGATCCTTCTCGACAGAGACAACTTCAAGCTAACAGCCGGCCATATGATAGACAAAGATGACGGCTTGTGCGCTTTGCGTTTGCTGTAGTTAAAGTTTAGGATAGCAGAATCTGACCAAGTGACCAAGTCAGATAGGTCCTCCTGAAGTTGTTCTGCATCGCGCGTTGATGTTATTTCATTGAAAACCTTTGTGTCATCGGCAAAAGCGGCAATCTGACTTGATCTAACAACATCTGGCAGAGACTTCACATACAGAAGGAACAATATGGGGCCTAGGATCGATCCCTGTGGGACCCCTGAAGTCACAGGTAAGGGGCTTGATGTTGCACCCAATATAGTCACTCGCTACTGATGTAGCTTCCATAGGAGTAATTCGCGTGGTTTATTGTGTCAAAGACTTTTGACATGTCCAGATAATTCGACTTGCACACCTCTATCCAGCTTTGTGCCAATTTGGTCTAAAACTTCAACAAGCTGGGTTACACAAGACCGTTCAGCTATGAAGCCATGCTGACATGCGCTGATAAGATTGAAAACATGGTCCCTAATAGCAGTGAATATGCACCACTCCATGACTCTAGGAACGATAGAAAGTAGCGAGATCGGTCTGTAGTTTTCCGCTTGTTCTTTATTATCTTTTTTGAAAACAGGAAAGATGTTTGCTAGTTTCCAGTCCTCCGGCAGACAGCCCAACCTAAGCGACTAGTTGAACAATTCGGTAAGCAAGGGTGCTATCACGTCAGCTGTTTCTTTCAAAATTTTTGGCAGGTAATTTCATCTGGTCCAGTAGATTTACTGGCATCAAGATTAATCAGGAATAGTTCAACTTGAGATAATGAGAGAATCACATCAGTGAAGAACGGGTCAGAGTCTGGTAACTGACCATTCTCGCTTTCAGAGGCTGGAGTTCCCTGATCAGAAGGGAATACCGACGCAAAATACTGCTTGAATAATTCCGAATTATCACTGGTTGCCATGGTAATCGTTTCAGGGACGTTTTTGTGTTTTGATTTCACTTTCAGAACAGACCAGAAGCGTTTCGGGTTTGACTTTAAGTTTGTGGGGGACGAGTCTCTAAGAAGGAGCCCACAACGAAGTGAAGGCTTACGACGATACCAAAAAGCAAAACCGGCCAAGGGATAAGGGCCATACGCCGTGCAAGATGGAACAAATGAGTTGGTACCGGAAAAAACGAGTTCTCCAGGCAGGGACTAAAGATGCGCATAGGGAAGAGCTCTGGGAGTACCATGATGAGGCTTGTACTCATTGGATTTTTGGTATAGATTACAATTCTACTCATATTGAGTTAATAAGATAGACCTCTTTGGGCTATGAACCAAAATCAAGGAATTAATCTAGTAGGCACTTTTAAATCTTCTCCTGTTAGGCTGGTAATTAATTTGCCTCACCGGCTGGGTATAGCAGCGTTCTCTCCAGAAAAAAATATTATGCTCGTAGTAGCTTAAACGTCATTAACGACAAAGCTCAATTTTAACAGCCGATTGATGTTATTGCGAACTGTATTACTCTGGCACCGTGTCTAATATGATTAGCATAAATTTCTCACTAGTCTTCTATAGCATCTGTCAATAAACCTACTAGAGGGGCAGCAAAAACTAACTGCATGAAATGAAATGTTAACAGATGAACGTTTTGGAGAACATATTTATAAGTGTGATTCAGTCCACCTTCTCTTTTCCCTTACACCTAGTCTATCGTCAATTCAGCAAAAATAATTACACTAGGAAATCAGTACAAAGGCGAAATTTGATTTGTAGAAAGTCCATAGTCTCATGTTGTTTCCATGCAAAGGCAACATTAACAAACTGCGAACTCACCGGTCGAGAAGATTGGTTTCCCATGCAGGGTTTCTTAGAGCTTTCAATAATTTCGGGACAAATGAATGCACTAATAGAAACACAATCTTAATACTACATTGCATTTTATGTTGACATATATTTCTCCTGTAATGGAATTAAAAAGGAGCGTTGAGAATCAGTCTTACGAAATCTTTCGAAAAGTGTTTTTCAGTAGGTTACTTTGTATGTCGAGCGGCTGAAAAGTTGATTCTTTGAAGTTAAGGGTCAGTGTTGAAGATCTGCTTCATTCATTAAAATTCAAGATTTTCTAATATAATAACGGCTTTTAAAAATTTAATGTGCACCTGTAAGGTTCTTTCACTATCCGTATCAAGGCTTCAAAATTAGATTTCTCTCTGATACGTTTTCGTTTCAATTTATTGTAGTAAAATTTTAATATATATTTTGTCATTCTACCGGAGTAGACAATGTTTCAAAACCAGATTTTTTTTTTTTTTTTTTTTTTTTTTTTGCGATTCAGGAAACTTGCTTGGTTTTTAAAGTGACCGAGAGATCGCAGTCATTGTGAACGCAGATGACAAAAGAACGTTGTTATTTCATCCGGGATTTGTGGAATTCTTACAAGTCATGCAGAGAGGCGGTAAACCATGACAGTGACTGTAATTCTAGAGAGCGAAATGTAGCATATAGGAGTGGACAAACTTTGACACAAAGGATTTGTGTTAAATTGTCGGACGATCTGCTATCCTTTATAGAGGTAAATCACTAGAAATATTTCGGCGACTTGGTGACAGAAGTAATTTATTAATAAGTGTGGCCTTTTTAGGGAAAATTCCCACCGTAATTTCTGCTTCACTGACGTTTTCTATCAGTTATTAGGAATGCCAAACACTTCTGTACCAATACAAAGTACAAAAGCACAGAAAGACAAAATAACACAGAAATTTGATGTTTTTTGTAATATTGAAGGCCGATTGTATGTTACTTGATTATGACAAATTTTATTTGCAGTATAATTAGAGTCATTTTTGGCTATTTATTCAACAAATTCTTACATAAACCGCATTAAAACTAATAAAATTGGTTTGATTTTATTTGGTAATCCTTTTGCAATGATGACACTTTCCATTAAATCTAACCTGCCGGCGTCGCATACATCAAATAAACGATGGATATGTCTGTCAATATTAGATGACGTTCAAATGGTGTAAAAAATTAGGGCAGAAACGAATCTCAGAACTTTGACCTAATAATTTTGAAATGTTGATGACCCAGAAGTATAGTGATGATCTCTGATAACGTTACCTCGCTTCACGTCATTATTTGCTGGTTGACTGGGAATATCACCCGTATCCTGATCGTTGGAAAAAGTGTATTCCACTACGTAAAGAAAATATTTTGAGGATTTAAAACGAAACAAAAATGCTAAAGCGCAGTCACCAGGGGAGAAAAAGTAATATATATTATTGTGGGGAGCTGTGTATTGTTAAGATATATGAGCTACTGCTTACTGCATACAAGACTTAAACAATTTACTGTTCCACGAGCTAAACCAAGAGATAACGTCCTCAGTGGCACGAGTGATATACCTGAATTTCTATCATTTCGATAAGCCAATGGCCTATACTTGATGACAGAATCAAAATAACCCTACGGTTAGAACTTCTATTTTACACGTAATATGAAAATACATAGATCTTGATGTCGACCGATTCTTTAACTGAGAAACTCGGTGATGTAGGACAGAGGCCATTCACGCAGAAAAGACAACTATTGGGAGGAAACTAAAAAGGTTTTCACCAAGTCCTGCTATCATATGTCCACCGTGCACCTATAAATGATAATTTGGTGTTGACTATCCTCTTTAGGTCTACGTAGTCAATATGTCATCCAGAAGTGCAAATATTCTAATACTGATGGTTCTTATCGCATCAAACTGCTCTGCTTCTAACCCATTGTAAGTTTATATACCTAATTGTATGTTAAAACAGTGATCCTGATTTTGTCTCTACAATTTATAACAAAAAAATTTTGGTGGAAACAGAGCCCAATCGGAAGGCATGTCTCGAGTATCAACGTTCTTATAAGGGAAAAAAAGGGTCTTTTTCAGTAAATTTTTTCACTATCAAATAAATCATTTATGATAAAAGCACCATCTTAAATTTCTCAAAGGAGCAAAGCAAACGGTCGCAAAGCAAATCGCCGGATGAAGAGGTGTTCATCTCAAAATACGTTAATCAGTGAAAGGAAACTTTAAGGATAGAATGTGGTCACATACGCAAAATAGGAAAGAACGGAAAAAAAAGAAGAAAAACAAGACCGATGTTAGACGTGAGGCCTCAATGTGTTGACGCACTTGAGAGACACCTTTGACCAGTTGCTTTGAAGAAATTCTCAAGCTATTGCAGCTTTAGTAGTGTAATTATCTTCAGTTTTGATGAAAGGAAATGTCTTTTCTTAGACTCGTAGGACGATAACCAGTTTCTTATAAAGGGAAATTTATTCGATTAGAAATAAGCAATATAGTGATGTTTCTCGTAGGACAAGAAATTATATCTTATCTAGCTGTTAAACACTCAAATTAGCAATAATTAGGGCGCACTGCCACTAAAACCTAATGAGATAAGTTTTCAACTTATGAATGCCTGACTTTCACTAAGACTTTACAACTAAGAAATCGTAAACTTCTGAGACTATTTTTACGCAGACAGGAACTGATTGTCGACAAAAAATAATCCTGTTGTAAGCTGTTTTCCAACCTCCCCTTTTAGGCGACGTAAGCGACGTGCCCTTGCAAGAAATGCTACCCTCATACAACCAAGCTTCAACATGTCAAGTCTACTGACTTCTATAATGAAGGACTATGACAAAAACATGAGACCCTTCTATGGAGGTGAGCAGAAGGTTAAGTGATGTGTTAAAAGAAAACAAGAGAGACTAAAATGCAAGGTAGGGTCAGTAGATTTCAGCATTGAGTTTCTGGGAAACTCACGGCCTACCTCCCCTAGCCCAACCATTTTGCCCTAAGTAAGACGTTTAAGTCGGGTGGGGTAGGTATGAAGTTTTTAGAAACTCATACTGATCTTTTCGTACGTGACGCATGCGCACTGCCATATGACCCCGACAGTAGTATGTCCGGACAGCTGTTTTGTCCTTGTTAGAGCTCTCTCGTTTGATTAGAGACCACACTGTTTACCACCGAGATAACTGATAGGGCCGACCTGTGCGTGCTTAATAGGGAAACTAGTAATACTGTAGGGATTGGTAGCGCCTGCCATTGGCTGAATTTTCTCTCTAAAAACTAGTGCATTGTAGACAAACGAATGGATAAAATGACTATGGTATGTACAAGCCACGTTCTAAATCATGAGCGTTATTTACTTTAGATATTAGTTATCGGCAATATATCAGTGCATGTTGTTCAATCAACTGAAATGGCAATCAAACAGGAGGTAGTTGTATTCGTTACCAAGATAGTGCCGATGAGACCATGCCATAAACTTGGGAACTTTAAGCATTTATTAGAAACTCACCCCCAATGCAAAGTTTGGTACAAGCCCCAGGAACCCAATCGAGAATTTGTAATTTTCAAGACTATTACAATGAATTAATTATTATACAGGGATGAATAACTTTTTTGTTAAATTTCCTCATAAGCTTTATATATGTTTTCTTCATTCCAGTGAAATCAGTGGATGTTAAGGTGGATATTTTAATACTATCATTTGGCGAAATTCAAGAAGCAAATATGGTGAGTTTTGGGGTTGGAATGATTGTTTATATTCTCACTGTTGAAGTTTTTTAGCAATTTCCTTTCATAGTTTCACCAGAATTTGCCAATTTTGAATTCGGTTAAAGTATATAGCAAATAAACCAGGAGGTTCGCAGAAAATTGAAGGAGAAGCTTAAAAGGATTACGATTAAGGTTCCTAAGAACAAAGTTTATTTTGTTAATGCTCGGGAGACACATTTTGATGTATTGTCAAAGCTGTTATTTCGTCTGTTAAAAGCAGTTAGTCGCCAAAACGACACAAAATCAATGGATTGTCTGATTCTGAAGCTTAGGTAGATGCTAAAGTAAGCCCCGGTCCAAATCTCTCCGTTTTTTATTGTTGTGATAGGATTTTAGTCTGGATCTGTATCTTGGTCTGTTCTGGCAAGATCCCAGGTTTGACTTGGGTATAAACCAATCCCTTACGCTTGGAGGACACTTCACAGATAAATTCTGGCTTCCGGACACCTTTTTTGTCAACTCAGTTCAAACAAGCGTACACGAGACGATTCTGCCTAACTTGAAAGTTTGGGTGAATTTAAATGGTGGACATATGATGCTTAGTGCGAGGTATCAGTTTGACTATTAATTCACATGTTCAACTATCTGGTGATTCTGGTTAAAGTTGTCAGTAGTTTAAATGTCTTTCCTCCAGACGCTTGACATAAACTTGGTTCCTTGTAAAATATCATTCAGCCAAAATGTTTGGATGGGAGTTAAAACCGCGAATATGGCTAGGAAGTGGTTCCTCTGAAACAACAGTACTATTAGTTCGTCTTTGTGGTTATATTATCATTATCATTATCATTATCATTATCATTATCATTGTCATTATCCTTATCCTTATCCTTATCCTTATCCTTATCATTGTCATTGTCATTGTCATTATCATTATCATTATCATTATCATTATCATTATCATTATCGCTATCGTTATCGTTATCGTTATCGTTATCATTATCATTATCATTATCATTATCATTATCATTATCATTATCGCTATCGTTATCGTTATCGTTATCATTATCATTACCATTATGTACAAGATATACTAGTGTAATTGCGACTGATCTTCTCTCTCAAAATTCGAGTCCAAACAATGGACTTTGGGAGGCAAAGAGGGTTCTACTTGATGGAGAGGACCGACCTGAGAAGGCGGGCTGTAGAAAGAAGAGTTGTTTTCTGGAGTTCATGTGTGTTGATGTTGCCAGGTGTTGTTGTAGTTTTCCATATCCTTCTTGATGGTGCCAAGCGCTCCTATAACCACTGGGACTGTTGTTGTTTTGAGCTCCCAAATTCGCTCAACCTGTATTTTCAAGTCTTTCTATTTGTTACGTCTAGCTTTTCCGTAGTTTTGACTGAGGTGTTGGTGTCGAGGGGTATAGTCACGTCAATGAGAAGGCAGGTTTTATCCTTCTTGTTCTTTAGCACAACGTTCTGCCTATCAGCTGCGATGGTCCTGTCAGTGTGGATGGGCATCTCCCTCAGAATGATGACGCTATCCTTCTCGGTGATGCTCATATCATCTTCCTTCACCTCAATGCCAAACTCTTTGCAGATCATCCAGTGCATGTGTGCAGCTGCCTTGTTGTAGCGGTGGTATATTCAGTTTTAGCTAGTTCAGGGCAGCTAGAGACCAGGTGGTCAATGGTCTCGTCGAAACGGCACACAGTCTACATTTTGGGTCCTCGTCAGGCTTCTTGAGTATGTTGTGTTGTTGCCAGCGTACAATACAATACAATACAATAAGAGTTTATTGTGAAAATACACTTAGCTACAATAATGGTGTGCTTTCGCAGACGGAACCGAAATCGGGGTCTGTGAAAGCACGCCAGCTAATTTACAGGTATTCCACAAACACAATAAAATTAAGAGTTAAAAAACTAGATATGGAATATTCTATAATTAAAATTATAACAATAAAATCTTAATAAGTATATCTTGTTTCTAAATAAATACTAAATTCAATAAAAAAGCGTCGAAATTATAAAAATTGCACTAGGTCAACTTGGCTAATGGATCTCTTAAAAGACTTAAAATTAGTTATATTTCTAAACATGTTCGGAATTGAATTCCAGAGTTTCGGACCAATATAACGGACTGAGTTCAAGCCATATGTAGCTAGTAGACTTTGGCTTGGGTAGCGAGAGGATATAGTCACCTCTTAAATTGTAGCTAACGTGTTGGGAGGCTTTGATCTTGGGCTGCGATGATAAAGTCCTCGGTTTCTGCCTTGAGGCCAGCTGCTTTTAGCCATCTGTGGGTCCTGTCTTGTTCCAGCCTGTTCATCCGCTGTGGCTATTTGCCGTGGAGCGATTTTGATTCCAACTTGAGCCTGAGCAGTTGGCGACCCTGGTGTTTGGCCTTGGCCTTTGTTCTGAGGGCATAGGTGGTGTTCGCCTCATCCTCGGCAGGTGGTATTGGAGGCACTCCCAGTTCCCGATTGAACTTCATTGACTGTCTGCTAATGGAGTAAAAGGATTTCCTGTCGTCAGGGTCTTTGACAAAGTGGAGGAGGGTGAAGGTATTTATCAAGACCGATAGTGGTCGTCTTGTGGCAAAGCTCACCTCTTCAAGCAAGGCTTTGTTGATGAGGAGCTGGTCTTTGTAGCCATAGCTCCTGCGGCGGCATCCTTTTTGCACTTTGCAATTGGGGAGCAGGTTGTTGCTTTCGAGAAAGATGAAGGCCCTCATCATCATTATTATTATTATTATTATTATTATTATTATTATTATTATTATTATTATTATTATTATTATTATTATTATTATTATTATTATTATTATTATATTATTGCTCTGAGAAGCGACCAGTTTCCTTGGGAGCGGCTGGAGGGAGTGATCATTTAATTGGTAAAGAGCAATTATCGTAAAATATGGGCTATTCCCATAAGGCTGATCTTTTGGAGTTCTTCGATGCTGATTTTTCCAGGGATTTTTCCAAGTATTTTCGTAGGCCCCCTTTTAACTAGGCCAAGTGCTCCAATAACTGAAGGCACAGTTTCTGTTTTAAGGCCCGTCATCCTTACGATTTCGATCTCTAAGTCCTTATACTCGATTACACTTTGATAGCTTTTCAATCACTTTGACAGATGTGTTTCGTTTAGCGGGTATAGCCATATCAATCAATACGCATTTCTTCCGTTCTTGGTCTTTAATAATGAAGCCTGACCTGTTGGGTTTGATCTCTTTATCGGTATGAACCGGCAGGGATGTGCCAGGGGATAGTACATGTTTCATTTTCGTTTTCTGTTACTCTGTCTGGTGAATACTCGTACCACTTGTCCGCCTCTACATCCTTCTTTTCTGGAAAGGTAGATTCTATCAACATCAGTCTTTAGTTGATGCATTCTTGCAAAAACCCATTATTATTTCCAGTATCATTAATGTCATCATTCAAATTATTATCATTATCATTATTATTATTATTGATTCCGTTATTATTCTAATATAATATAGAATTTTGAACTCTTATTATTAATTATATCTATTTCCTCTTCTTTTATGTAAGGTTAAGTTACTTCTATTTTTTAGAATTTGTAAATGAATAGTTTCTTTCTTCACTTATTATATATAGGATTGTTTTTGTTCTCTAATGAAGGCCGAGGGGTTTCTTTTGTAACGGATGGAATTGTAGATAGTGTTTTGATGAATTAATTAGATTTTTTGTAACAGGAGGTTGATTGTAAATAGGATTTTAATTGAGGTTTTGTAATAAAGATTTAAAAAAATTTTTATTCTAATATAATAATAATAATAATAATAATAATAATAATAATAATAAGTATGTGTAATCAAATCGTGACGAGTGAAATTTGAGAATAATTTCACGAGCGTTTGGTCCAAACCCTAAGGGGAGGAAAATTATTAAGATTTGGACAAAATGCAAGTGAAATTATTCCCTAATTTTACGAGTGACGTATACCATTTGATCACCTATTAATATCATGGGTGACAAACTACGCTCACAATCGTAGGTTTTTGACATTGCTCATCGAATCGATCGAGAACTCTACGCAAGGAACACTTTGGAGCTTAAATTTTGGCTTAAATTCATTCTGCATTTTCGAGAAAATACTTGATAGAATCCCTCTTGATGTGCTCTTTTGAGTGTTTAGTTTTTCTAAAGCGTCTTTTAATGCCCTGACATCTTCATTCATTTTTTTTTTAACTTTGCCGCCATCTTGGCACAACACGAGCAGAAGGTTGCCATGGCAATTTTATTATTTCACATGTGAAAATTTTAATCAACGCTGAAATTTCGAGCCAAAATTAAGGATTTATTAGTAATTACTATTATAATAATTTTACTAGCTGTCTTAAACTTTTTGTTACATATCTTTGATGTTTTTCAAATTAAAGTCAAGTGTCAATTAATATTCAGTCCAGTTTAACTTAATAATGAAATATGATTTATAATCATATCTTTGCTATTTTGAGAAGATACAGCAAAAGTGTTATCCGTAGTAGTTTCCTAGTTTCAAAGTTATAGAGACACTTTGTATATTAACCATGCATTCTATATAATGCTCAATAGAGTTTTTAATACGACTGTGATCGATGTCTTCACGTCTTTAGGATGAAATCTACTGCCTCTTGCAAAATGAATTTGAGGAAGTATCCTTTGGACGATCAGATTTGCCACTTAGCCTTGGAAAGTTGTGAGTAAAGCAATTATTTCTTTTCTAGGATCGAAAACAGACCTTAAGTATTTCCAGAGTGGAAGTAACAGGCATAAAGCATGTGCTCAGTTCGTCGCACGTGCTACAGAACTTTTAAACTCTAGAACAAATCAACCTGAACTATACATATCAGCCAATGACATCAGTCCTAATCAGCCAAAGATAAACGGAGTTTTTTTCTTGTTTGCGAGTCGTTAAAAAAGAGGATAATCGTCGTTGATTCTCCGACAATTGCTTTCGCAAAAAAAAATCTGTTTGAAATATTTTCAAGCATGACCGTCTTTCACAGGCAGGTTTGTATACCAACGAAATGCCCTCAATTAACCTCTGACAGAGGTTTATTTAAGGTGTAAAATCTACTGCTTTATGTAACACAGGTAAAACCATCCATTGTTTAACAGTGAGCTTTATCTCTTTTTTTCAGTTTCGTATGACAATGAAGATTTGAAATATAGCTGGACGAAGAAAGCTGGAACAGAAATTTTCATATACGACAAGGAAATGGCTCAGTTCATTGTCATGAACGCAACTAGACAACTGAAGCATCCCCTCTATCATTCAGGTGTCCGTTTATCAACTTCTCTGTTAGCCTTAAAACTTGAATAAGTTGTGCAAGTATAAGACTAGCCCCAATCAGTAGACATCCAGAATGGGTTATTTTATTGGCCGTTCGAATGTGGTTAGACCATATTTCTGACCTCTACTGGAAAAGAAGTCTCTATTTTACAAAAGAACCATTTCTGACTATTTAAGTACATGCCTAAGAGGTCTTTTTTCATATTAATTCCTGTTTTCCCTGGTGCTCTAAGTTCTGCTTATTTCTGTTAGCGCGCTGTGTCCTACATGAACCGCGTACTTATTTTTCAGAGACGTTCTCCGGCCTCACCGTGACCGTCCATTTTCAACGCCGTACGATGTACTATATCTTTCAAATGTACATCCCTTGCGTTTGCATTGTAGCTCTTTCATGGGTGAGCTTCTGGATTGACCCGGACGCTATACCCGCTCGTGTTGGACTCAGCATCACCACTGTACTGACCATCTGTTACATGTTGGGATCTGTGAACTCCAAGCTGCCTCGTGTCTCTTACCTCAAGGCAATAGACTACTTCTTGCTTATGTCGTTTGGATTTATCTTTTTCACCTTGGTGGAATATGTGTTCGTGTTAAGATACTCTAGAAAGATGAAGTACGTGGGTAGTTTTACCCCTGGACAAAGGGCGCATCTCGATTTGGCAGAAAGAGGAGAGTGGGTAAGAAAAATAACACCCTCTTTTACCGCTGGATGTCCCTAAAAGTGGTATTTTGTTAACAAGTGATTTGATATCTAATGGCAGACAACAGGTGAAAGGAAAAAAATTTAGGACGCTTTTATTCCTAGTCCTTTGCGAGCAACATCCCCATATGGGGGGGTGGATAGAGACTTGATGATTCCACAGCTCAACAGGAGGTGGGGTGGCGATGCCAAGCGGTTTTAGTGAAAACAAGGTTTGGGTGGGGGTGCTCAGTCCCAGGGGCTCACAAACCTCCTTTTGAGCTATGGAATCTAGTCATTTCCAGGTAGGGGAGAACGTTTTCAGGCTCCATTTTTCGGCTTAGCGCCTCTTTGAACCAATTGACCACCGCCCAGACATTCTCGAGAGCTAGTCCACCGCCCGAAATCGACAGTCGCTTTGAACTGGTAAAACCTTTTGCTTTTCACGCCCTTCCCACTTACCATCGTTTGAAGCTTAACACCTCATGGATTTAAACGACTTTTGCTCCAAGCCAATATGATTCAATCATGCACAGGAAGGCAACAAATCTGGAGCAGATAGCCTTAATGTCGTATTTGCACCCTGATTTGGACAGGGCTCCAAATTAAGGCGCAAATATATGAATTTTACCGGCCTGTAATCCATCTTTTGGTTTCCACGTATTAACTCTTTTCAAAAATAACTTACTGTAGTGGTTTCTCACACGCTGTTTAATTGCCGTTGTTTATGAGAGCACGAGAGCATAGATCATGAAATCTTGTATATTCGTTAATTCGGTCATATGTTTAAGTTCTGAGTATAAATCTATTTTTTCGCAAAGACGCCAAATCTGAAACTTAAACACCATCATAGTTGTATGCTCTGTTATTTTATTTATGTTCAATAGTAAAAATTTTACTAACCGAAATAATTTTTTTTCCCTTTTCTTTTGATTCAGGAGGATAATCATCAGAAGATGGAGATCCGAATTTCCATGGGCGGAAAATCGTACATTTTCACCGACACGTTAGATAACGCATTTAACACTTCGAAAGAAGATAAAAGAGGTCAGCTCTACAAATTCAATGAAATGAAAAAAACGTTCAGAACTTGTAATCACACCCGACCAGTGTTCAGGAAAAGAACAAGCACAGAGAAAAAATCCCTCCTGGAAAAAATAAAGAAAACCATCGGTTACACCATCGAAGGGAACCAAATTGACCGAAACTCGAGGTTTTTGTTTCCGTTTTGTTACTTGCTTTTTTTGATCATATATTTTGTGTCTTTCATTTATGGAGGTCAAGATTTAGCCCAGAAAGTCTCTGAAGGAGAAACTTATTGAAACATTTTGGTTAATATGCTTGTACATTTACCGATTCATATTTTTAACAAACATTTTAGAATGATTTTTTTTTTTTTTAATCAAAGCTAACCGTCTGCGAAAGAGGTGACGCAGATTAAAGGAGTGACTAAAGCCGAACGAGAAAACAATTTAAACAAGTAAAAATTTGTAAAGAAAATAATGATTGCCAAATAAAGAAAATTTGATTGAAGTGTACGAGTATCGTGTGTTGGCGTGTGAACATCATTTTAATCAAATAAGTCCCGAGCAGTCAATCGATAAAAATCGGTATAGCGGATAATCGGAAATTAACGGAAATCGGTGAAAATCGATAAAATAAATTGCTGTGTCAATCGATATTATCTATTTTTCATGATTTTAACTATTTATAACGGTAAGTCCGACCTTGTTGTTTTGTGGCATATTCAGTTAAATAGTACAGCTGAGAAAACACATCCACGAGTAACAACCGATCAACAAACATGAAAATAAGAAATGTAGAAACTATTACAGACACAAGATTCTCTCTAAAACCGACCCTTTCGTACATAATAATAAAAACGGTTCGGTTTAATTACAATCGCAGTTCTCGCGGGCAAGTAGCAGAAGATTTCCCAGCTGAATTTCAGAGATCCTCCTTTCAGAGATTCAGCCGGATGCCTGAAATTCAGGCTAAAAGATTTCCCTAGATAGCTTTAACACCGCTTTCAGTTATCAATCGATAAAATCACTTGATCGCTAACGATTTTTGTCGATTTCGATTTTTATCTATTGGCTACTCAGGGAAGTAACTACACGTGGAAATGATGTTATTTTAAAAGGGTGGCAGATATAAATCGTGAAAAAACTGGGCGCCTACGAACCTGGCCAATATCGGCCATCAGAAGAAGACTTTAAAGCGGGTTTTAAAGAAAAGAAAAGATTTTTTAATTTTTTTAAAAAAAGTAAAAAACAATTTGTTTGATCCTTTGACTCTCCATTGCAACTCAGTTGTCAACAAATTCACCGTTTGAATGAAAGCAGTTTTCATTTTTGGATGAACAGAAGAACAGATGTAATTCTTCCGATATAAATCGATGGAATCGGTAAAATCTAGATAAATCGATAAACGTAACGAGTGTGTCATCGATTTCTACCGATTGATCGATACAATCGATATCAATCAAATCAGATTTACCGACTTATCGAGTGATAAATCGATACCGATTTTTATCGATTGACTACTCCGGGAATAAGTCAACTAATGCAACTATGACTAGCTATTACGGGAAATTACGTTTCCTGCAGATAGTACGGGGTGTGTCAGATAATTAAGCCAGTTATAATTGACTTTGTTTTATTTTTATTACTGAGTTCATCTCTCAAGAGCTTGTTCTAAAAGGAAATCATTTTTTTTCAATACGTTTTAAAGTAAACGAAGCATCAATATGGTGCCAGTATATAGCCTGCAGGCGTTCAGATCGTGGGGACAGCGAAAAGAGATGCGAGCAGAAAAAAACAACAACGAGGGGGTGGAGTAGGAGTGAGAGCGAAGGAAGGCCTGTAAGACTTTTTAACGAAAGCTCGTTCCGGTTTATCGCTCTCTTCCAGCTTCGCGCCGCACTCCACTCTCCGACCGCCTGTAACAGGCTAGTGCCAGTACTGTCTTACCGTAGTAATCTGTTTATCGTAATGCAATACTAGTATACTTACCGTGCAACTTCCTCAACTGGGGCGCCACACTTTGACATTTAAACAAGCATTCTCATCTAATTATGATTGGCTAACGAACTACTAAAGTCAGACCCCTTTGCTACGACGAACGTGACCTGATTGGCCGATTAATGTAAAATGGCCCCAGTTGAATAATGAGTTAGTTGCACCGTAATTCTAGTAATTCAAGCTGGAATTCAAGCCGGAATCAAACTGTGTTTGAAGTTCTTGTGATTCTTTTATCGTTGTAACGGCGGTTAATTAAACTGATTTTTGAAAATACTTGGAAGAAGAACCAGGTGACAGCCAAAATAGTTAAATACACACGCAAAACAATGAACAAAAACACAGTTCTTCCATTCCAGTAGACTTTCAGGTAAATAGCGAAACTGCTGGATGCTACTGAAAAAGCATCCGTTTTGAGTATCATTATAGCCGAAAGAGCCCAGCAATAAAAAGCCAATCTTGCGCAACTAAATACCTGAGTACAGTCGAACCTGTATATAACGGCAGCAGCAACACGTTTGAAACAGGCCTAACATTGTGTAAAGTACGATGCAATAAATCTGATGGTAACGATACTAAACGGCCGAGTATCAGCTTACAGTAGCTTTGGTCTTTAATGTGATAATGGAACGCATTTTGAACAGAATAAAATACTGCATAAAATGACAATTATGTCTTAGTTTCCGTTCAAGGGAAGCCGCTTTTATAATACAGGTAAAAATAACAAAGAAAGACAAACATAGGAATGCTACAGGGTGGCCGCGGCCGCTCAGTAGAGGTGGCCGCCTAATACAGGTAACAATAAAGCGTTTGTATGAGCGAAACATCGGGACTTTTACTGGCTGCTTTATAAAGGGTGGCCGATTAATACCGGGCCTTTATATATAGGCTGGACTGTATCTTTTTTAATCAAACGCCTGATAATTCATATTGTATAATGGTAGGATACATACAGGTTTTCAAAATTGCTGGAGACAGAAGGAGGATCGGACATGAGAATCAATTCAGGCCTTTCTTTATTTACTTTCCAGTTTATTTTAATCTCGTCCCCACGGACGGACCCCAAGATAAGAGTAACGGGATCCTAAGAACCAGATTGAGTTCCTCCTGTAAAGCGCGAGTTTTCGACCTAGATACAAAAATGCAGATTTTTAAAGATTTTTAGAGTCAATCATACAGCTGATAGCAAAATTTTAGAATTTTTAGACGACAAAGTTTAGAAAAATACACCCGATAGCACAGGTTCTTATTGTCGTTATCGTTTGTTTGAAAGAGAAATATGTTAGCTATGGACGCACCAATTGCATCATTGAAATAAATTGCCATTTTCAATCAGTTTGAAGGTGTTTGCATGTACTTTGACCGCAGGTCAGAAGAATCTCGCATTTTATGCAATTTATGTGATTATTTCGGATTACAAAAAATTGTAAAGATAAATCGAGATTTGTAGAGATAAAACTGGGGTTTATAGACATTTTTTGGAGAATTTCTGGATAGAGTTTTAGGCCATTGTTCCGGATTCTTGTATCCTAGTTCATCGAGTTTTTCTGTGGGGAGAGCAGAGATGGTTCATGGGGCATTGAGCTACCTCAGCTAGAGCAAAATATGTTGCAGTTGACGGTCCTGCACCCGGGTGTCTCCTCTTTATACGTTTCAAAAGGAAAAAAAAGTTTGCAATACAAGATGATTTGATGTAGAGTAAGTTTTCAGATAAAGCTTTTATTTTTTTGTCTCATTGTTAACACAGTTCAACATACGCAGTTTACATAATAAGTGAAAGTACAATAAAATCTCTTCACCTTATAGTAAGACTGGCTAATAAAAACTACCGACAATTCATACTTAATGATATACATGAAAAAAATTTCACATCTCCAATCTAATCAGCTGAGATGCAGTTTTTGGTGTCCAAAAACGAGGAAATATAATCTGAGGCAAAGGGAAAAGTGCAAATATTTAAGAGAAAGGAGCACTCTGATTGGCTGATAAACAATAGAAATGCATGTATAAGAACCAATCAGATGCCGCAACTCATGCGCAATATCAACATCAGGCCAAATGCGATACGAGGCTTTCCGTATGTCGAGCGGGCAGTTTTTAGGGTCTCGAGAGAGGCCGTTAGGTTCCAGTTTTATTTACCGTTTTTTTTTTTTTTTTTAATGTACAGTGTATATTGTGAAAGGCACTTTTTTTTCGCTCCATTTGGAATTTATTTGCACTAGTGGGTTTTTCAAAAACTTCAACTGCATTTGACCTTCGGGCTAGCTTTTGGCTTGACAAAAAAACTTGAAACGTGCAAATAAATTCCAAATTGAACTCGAATTCGTATTATTACCTAGAAATAATTTATGGCAACCATAAACCTATAGTAACTGACGTGTTAAGCCATTAGCTTTTAAGTTACCGTATAAACCCTGTAAGAAGTTTTCAGTGGAGTCAATTTATTCTTTCTTGGTGGAGTAATATTATCTTCTGACTAAGAAAGCTTTGTCCTTTCACGCTTGTACTCAGACATATGTCCAAAAATAAGCATTTTACCTCAGTGAAACTGGCAAAGAGATCAAGAAACGTCTTTTTCAAATGAAAAACTAGTGATATTATGTAATAGCATGCTTTAAATTAGCATCAGCGAAATTAACTACTGAATGTTTTTATTTCAAGTAAATTGGAGCTTTTTTTCAAAGATTGTTATTCTAAAAAAAAGTTGACATAGCTTTTATTCGTCACTGATTTCTATCTAGTTCTATAGTCTTTTGGTATTAGAATGAAGAGGTGAGGTCAATTTGGTTTATTAGTCAAGAAAGCGACGGTTTCAAAGATCGGTCGTCTGACCACAGGAAGTATTAACCTTCACCTTAAGTTCTCATTCCTGATCGTTTGAACACGAATTATCACGTTGTTTCTTCTTCTGTTTCTCCTGCGCAGGTGAAGCAACATCTTAAACTTACACCTGTAGTTCTCGTTAAGAACCGCGTACACAAATGGATTGAAGGTGCTGTTTGCGAAAACCAACCACTGTGCCAAAAGAATGACTGAGGTGAGGGCTTGGCTTAGTTTCGAATAACTCAATTCAGTGTACATGAGGACAATGTGATATGGTAACCAACAGATGGCAAAAAGAAAAACCACTGTTGAAAGCATTCTGATGGCTTTCGTCTGTGCGTGATTCGTCACTAACAAGAAAAAAGAACAATATTACCTGCTGCAGATGCTAAAATTTAAAGGGGCTCTGTCATGGCTGTCTTGTTCATTTTGTTAGAGCGATTTTCTAATGACCTTAAAAATGGTTCCGGTAAGTGTTCGTTATTTGGTTTATCAGCCAATGGATGAAAAGATTAGAACATAGACTGTTCGTTTTCCCGCCAAACAAAACCCTAATATGGAGAAGGCATTGTTCGATTAGGCAATCGTGTTGCAGTGTGACAAATCACCCTATTTCCATTCGTTTCTTGTTTCTGTTTTGTTCGCGCGTTTTCATTTCAAGGTCATAAGAAAATTCATAGTTCTGTTATGACTAAGAAGTGATTTATTCATAACGGTGTTGTGGCTGTTCAAACATTTTAATCTCTATTACACAACTTGTTCAAACATTGTTTGTTTAAAAAACGTTAACAAAAATGTCTACCCACCTTGTTGTGCGGTGGGCAACCTTCTGAGGAATCGACCAACCCTTGCATACAAGCTAGCAATAATAAGCAGGGGAAGGAGATACAACAGCAAAAACACTAGCACGGTATATGATTGTCTCGACTTAACACTTGGCCATTCCTCGATGCAGACCGCAAATTCTTTCTCTCCTTGCTTGAACTTTGTGACAGTACTGAACACAGCCAGTGGAAGAGGCATGAAAATAGAAGTCGCCCAAATAACCGCGACGGCTTTGTTCGCTTCACGGATAGTGAGCTTACGTCTTGTGTACAAGACAATGTGCCAGTATCGTTCTCCGGCGATGGCCACTAGCGTTCCGACTGAGGCAGAGAGAGTCAGGCCTTGAAGAAAGGATATTAGCTTGCAAAGAAAGGCGCCAAAAGGCCAGTAGACCAAAAAACCGTAAGTAGCTACAGTGGGAATATTGACAAAACAAACTGTAAAGTCTGCAACCGCTAAGTTTGCTATTAAGATGTTACTCACGGTGACCATTCCTGGTTTACGGCTGGCAAGGATAACCATGAGGTTACCGCAAACACCGCTGAGGCAGATCACGCTGTAAGCTAGCAGGAGTGCCCATCTCAAGACTGGATTCGAAGAAGTTTCGATAGTACTTGCCACTGGAGGGAAAATGGGTGCCAGTGAACCATTGGTTACGTTGCTCGAGTTTGACAGAGTTGAGTTCATTGTGTAGGCCTTTAAGTTCAGTTTAAAAAGCTTCTACTTGGTCAATTCGGGGATACCAACAAAGAAAACCTGATTTTTTTTTCTTGATGGTCTTAAAAGCAGTTACTAATGGTTGATTAAGATAAACTTTCTGCTTGTCATTGGATGCCTTTTATCGACCATCGATACAATAAGACGCATGTTTCCAGCTGTACCGACAACTTAGTTCCGACTTTGTTTCGCCCCAGACGTGACCTCTCAAAATAAACCTGTTGTCATTTCCTGTAGTATTGCAAATAGCCTTAACTGCTTGGCATTGTCACTTCAGTGTTAGTATACAATATGATTCTGAAAAAAAATATCTCACGCAAATCTTAAGATCAGTTGCTAAACGGTGTGGTAGCCAAGAAGTCTTAAGCTTCCTAAATTCCAGTTCTAATAATATTAAACTTCTTAAAAACCAATAAATGCAACTAGACGGGGGGTTTTTGGAAAAAATAATTCGCTACTTATCATATAATTCATTTTGATACCTAGCACTTAATAAAGGTGATTTAAATCAACTTTCTCTTTTAGGACTGTCAGGAAGTCAGTGCCATTTGCTGGAGCTCGAGAATAAACTAAAGTAAGTTTAATTACTTCAGACGGAAATTAAAAACAATCCATTCTATAGGCTAAAAATAATATCGTTGAATCTATTGTTGCCTGTTAAGTGAGAAAACGTTAGATATTAGCTTTTTCTATCTCCGTTTTCTGTTCCCTTTTGAAGGGGAGGGGGGTTGCGATTTTGTCCTTTGTGCGCCTTTTTTTAGTTTATGGTCCTGTTTTGAGTTTTGTGTTCAGTTTTTGGTTTTGGTTTTGTAATTCTGCTTCGAGTTTTGTTTATGGTTTTGGTTTTGCCATTTTGTTTTTAGTTCTGTGATTTTGCAACAAACAAATTAAAGCTGACGTTCATATTTTCTAACTAAAGGCTATTTTTTAATTAAATATGATATTATTGTATATTGTGGCCACTAGCTCAGACAATTACCTATTCTTTTTAAGATTTACAGAACATGTAGCAAGATGTATTACCTTAGAAAATTTACCCCTTGATTGATATCACATCTTAAATCTTAATTATAATACAAACAATTGAAGCCCTTAACATGCTTTTCACCAACGTTAACGTTGCTTGCAACCACATTTGTGACTCGTACCTTTACAAATGCAACCCTCGTTGCTTTTGTGACGTACCCCCATCGCTATTACACAATTATGTGATCCTATAATGGACCACTCCTCCCTCATTACAGTGTTGTGACCCTTATTACATTTAGCACCAGTTATTACATTTGTGACCTCAACCGATCGCACCAAGATAAGCTCAGTTTGTGGAACTCCTTTCAACGTATGAGTAGTTTTAGGAAACGGAATTCAGTCTTCAGTTTGTGCCAATTTCTTATTCCGAAAGCTCAACAGTGTCTCGACTATTTCCCCTGACAAGTGAATCAATGCTCGCGTCCGGCAGGCGCAATAATCACAATTTCCCAGTATTTTTTACCGCTGGGTTTCGAAAAGTGCCACTTCTCGGATTTTCTCCCTTGTTATTTTGATACTTTCTCATTGTCGCATTGTTGCTTTGTAGTATTTTCAACTCCACCCTTGAGAAATGAAAGCTTCTTCCTGACGACCTCTTTTAACAATCCAGTAAAGCGAAAAAGGAATTCAATGTAAAATCTTTCTAATTTAAACAAAACCAAAAAAATAAGAACACGATAGACACCAAATGAGCATCGTGTTCGTGCCCTGTGTGGTATTTGGGTCATATCTTTCGATGTATACATTTAATTTGTTTTTTCTTTGGATCCCATGACAGATGAGGAATACTTCGTCGGCCACTGTAAGATAGGGTGAGAAAAAAAACAGTAGCATTAAGAACCTTTTACAAACTAGATTTAGCCGGTACGTATATTATTAATATTTTTAAATCCCTTTTTCGTTTTTTTTTTTCAGTCTTTTCGTTTAAATTCAGCTTTAATTGAAAACAGTTTTAGATGTTCCATGATTGTTAGAAACCCTAATATAGAGAAGGGTTGATATTTCTAATCACCAAGACCAAGCCTGAAGTTGAGACTCACGTCGAGCTTTTGACGTGTTAAAAAATTGTTGTTTAATATTTAAAAGGAGTTTAACCACTGTTTAACAGAGAACCGCGTTCAAAGTCAATTTCAGTTTGACCAACGCTTTGATCTAAACACTTCTTCAGTGTCGGGAACAGTTTCATTAAGCAATAAAGCCTTAGACTAGAAAAGCATTTATCTTCTTAAGTCAACCCAGTAAGACTAGATCCGGAGGCCCCAAAGATTTCTTAAACCGCGGTCTATGTTAGACTTTGTATAAGTAACCGACCCTGGGGGGGTACTTTAGGACATTTTGAGTGGGGATGTGCCGCTGGGACCCTGGAACCCTTAGCCAATACCAGAGCTAGTACAAGTGAATTTTGCTACCCCATACTAGACTAAACTCCCTATCCTCCCCCACCGCCTCCTCTATCCTAGAGTAGCTGTTTGCCAGAAGCAACTGAGGTCACTAGCACAGTCCAGCCAAAACAAAACCGCTTGGATTCTTGACTGGCAATTCCCGGTTTCCCTATTCTAGGCTAAAATCTTCAGCCAATTGATCAGTTTAAATGGAAAATGATACTAAGTTTCAAACTCTTTATTACCCATACAAACTCTCCTATTACCCTGGAGCCACCGCCGCTGTGGACGTTTCGCGCGGAGGAACGTAAATTCTAGCGATACGGCAATGTATACAGTGCGTTCATGATCAGCTGTTCGTTCAACCACAAGGGGCAGCCAACGAGAATATAGTTCAAAACCACTAAAACATAGCATTGTTAAACGTATTTTGGTATTTAAATAGAAGATGTAGGCATATTTTTATCCCCTAAAAATGTTTCATCTGTTCGGATTTCCTAGCTGAAAGTCTAGTGATCCGAAAATTATAGGGATCAAAACTTACCTTTTCGAAAATTTCAGCCAGAAAAAAGGCTCCCGAAAATTCTAGGTGACCTTTTTAGAGTAAAAATCCGTTAAAAATAGGCAATTATACCATATTTTAGATGTTCGAAAATCCTAGGAGAAGCAGGCAAGCAAGAAATTTTACAACAAATGTTCCGAAAATTCTAGCTCTCAAATCGTCTTCCGAAAAGATATTTTTCCGAAAATTGTCGTTGGGTGCCCCTGAACCACAGGTTTGTCCCAAGTGCAATATGAAAATTTCGTATGAGAAATGAAACCTAGATGAAATAAATGAACTAAAAGCGACAAAGGTTATCAATAAAGTGTAAATATTTTGACCTGGTGTCGTTGCCTTTGTTTTGACGAAGTTTCAGCGCGATTTGAGTACTTTTACACCAACTGTCTGACAGTGTCAGGTCAATTCATGTAGTACTCAAATCGCGCTGAAACTTCGTAAAGACAAAGACAACGACACCAGGTAACAATGTTTACACTTTATTGATAACTTTTATCGCTTTTAGTTCATTTATTTCATCTAAAGTTTCAAATACTTTATTACCCATACAAACTCTCATATTAGGCCGGAGCCACCTGTGCAGAAGTGTAAGGTCTGTAAGCGGCACTTGAAAATTCTAGCGATGCGGCTGCATTGTTAAAGTGCGTTCAGCTGTGCGTTCAACCACAGGTTTGTCCCAAGCCCAACATGAGAGTTCGTATGGGAAATGAAACCTAGATGAAATAAGTGAACTAAAAACAATAAAAGTTATCAATAAAGTGTAAATATTGAACCTAGGCTTTATCTCATGTTTTGCAATGCGCGCGCTTTGTTTAGAAACTGAATTGAACTAACGTCACAAAGGGTGCAGATTGTTCGTTGCACATTCCACAAACCATTCCACTTGTAGTTTTCTGTGAAATGTCTCCAAAATGTCACCGCTCAACTGTTCTACTCTCTCAAATGCCTCCTTGCCTTTAAACTGTACAACCGAACTTTCCTTGACAGGATACAACGAACCAGAAGCGCTAGCTTTGCTCCGCTTGTTCGCATATTCGGTGATTTTTATCGTAGGCGTTGGCGGAAATCTGCTTGTTATGCTTACAATCCGCCGGCCACACATGAAAACGGTGACCAACATATTTATAACGAATCTTTCCGTGGCTGATTTCCTGGTCTGCCTTCTCAATGTTCCTATGGTAACAACACTGGGACATTTAGGATACTGGCCATTTGGCGAGTACTTATGCAAGTTCCTATCCTTCCTTCAAGGTGTCTCCCTATCGGCATCAATTGGGACCTTGATAGCAGTGGCAGCTGATCGTTTCAAGATGGTTGTGTTGTACCAGAAGCCAAACACAAAAATCCACCAGGCGTACACAGCTGTCGTAGTGATTTGGATCTCTTCCATCGCTCTACCATTTCCCCTTCTCCTGTTTTCACATATAATTCATGGCGCCAGTGAAGAACAGTGCATCGAAATCTGGCCCAGCCCTTACTCAAGGAAAATATACACGCTGTTTGTGGCTATTTTTCTCTATTTCATTCCACTTGGGGCAATTTCCATCTTGTATTCGCTCATTATAAGGAAGCTTTGGAGTTTAACAGAGTCTCGGAAAGGTAAGTACACCGGCTATGTTGACCTTAACTTCGTTTGTATCCGACGGCTAACCCACACGCAGAAATAGGTAGTATTCAGCGGTGGATCCAGAGGAGGGACCCGGGGGGTCCGCCCTTATTTTTAGACCAAGCTTAGGGCCGAAGGGCCGAAAAAATTTTTTGGAGACCGGGCTCCCCTTATGTAAGGGTCTGGATGACCGTCCCGCCCCCCTCCTTATCTCAAGGTCTGGATAAGGCACTGGAATTAACACTTGTCTATCTTTTCTTGCCGGCCTTCCTTTGTCTATCTTTATTTTTTCTCATTTTCATAAAGAAAGAATCTGCAAAGGTCTGCAAGAGCTTTAGTCTTTTGAAAAACAGTACTTAGCTTCATTATTTTTAGGAAAATAAGTCGTCCATTTCAGCCCTCTGAGCTAAAAGGTAGAAACGTTAAAAAGGCGAGAGTGGTGAAAATATGTTGTCCAAGTGTGGTATACTCAAAAATAAAATATCCAAACGGAACTGACCTTTTGGAAAGATACGAGAAACGGACAAAGGAATACAAAACAACCGTAAGAGACAAAACACAGACATCCTATGATATTATTTTGCTCAGTTTTAAGGACTCCAAAAGATTGCCTTAGTCACAACATTTGCGGTATCTGCAGGAAAAGAAAACACCATGATCCCAAGAAAATAAAGCTTTTTAACTTGTTCAAAAGGTGGATAGCGCTATCCCCATGCTAAATATCGATCCAGTGGATCACCCAATTGCTTCCACTTATACTTTCCGCTGGATATAGTGATTTATCTGGTGGATAGCATGCACTATTCAGCGTTTAGATCACGGGGGCCAGTTAATTGTTTTCATTCTTCGTGGTCATGTTCAGCCTCATTTTCAAAATATGCATGAAAATTCAACCCAAATAGAACAGCTAGAGTGGGCATTTAACTGACTAAATAACCAACATCAATGATGTCATGATATAATTCACGCTGTGAGTTAAACGAATCCCCCCTATTCCGACATAGGTCGAAGTCTGAAGACTTAAACGCCTTTAAAAGGTTTTTTAAAGTACAAAGTAAAATTCTGCATTAACGGACCAATATTAACCGAACACCCAATTTTAATGAATGGCTCTGAGTTTGTTTTATAAACTGATGTTTCTTCCCATATTTTCAGTAAACACCTGACGACCCTGAAAAGCGAACACCGGCGAAGATTCCGCGGGTATCCGCTTCATACATAGCCTGCGTGGCAGGCATTTGAAAGGGAACGGAAAGTGAGTTTTAGGCGCGAGAAAAACGCGAGGCGTTTCCCTCCCTCCTTCCCTCCTCGCGCGCCCATCGCGTTTCGCGTTTCTCCCTTTCCCTTCCCTTTCAAACGCCTGCCACGCAGGCTACTTCATACAATGCGGGTTTCAATGTACGTTATGTATGGAATGCATTTAGGTTATGACTCGACCTTCAATGGTGTTAAAATTGATAATTTTTGGCCCATGGACAAGATTTTAAACTTTGAGGAGGTTCTGAATAGGGGGTACCTCGATTAAACACTCTGTTAGCAACATGTAACAGTTAGATTTTAGGCATTTTAACAATGACAGTAAAAAACTCGCTGTATAATAGTAATATTTTTCCAGAAAGAAAAAAAACTTTCGGCTCCAAAATGGCCGATTTTTTAAGATAAGAATTGACAATGCTAAGACTCTAGGTTTTTCAAGGAAACCCTGCGAAAACTTGACAGTATTTCTCCAGAAACAGTAAACATTCAAAAAATTGGCCAATTTAACAGCAAATACCAAACGTTATGGGCAAATAACACTAAACCCCATATCAAGACCCTCTTTGAGTTACTGGTAATCAATAACTTATAATTGCTTGTAATCCATCAAACTAAATGCCGTTCTTAATTTTAGTCTCTCAACAGCGCCAGAAACGTATTGTCCGTATGCTTGTGATTGTGGTCGCCTTATTCGCTGTTTGTTGGTTGCCGTATCACATTTTATTCCTCTACATGGACTTCGTACAGCCTGATATGACCTATGGCATCTTATCAGCCATTATGTCCACCCAGTGGTTTATCTACTCCAACAGCGCCTGCAATCCAATCGTGTACGCGGTTCTCAATACAAACTACAGACGCGAATTTTTGAAGATGATAAGATGTAAAAGCAATGAGCAGCGTACAGTAAAGACAAAAGATTTGAAATTAAGCGGCAAAGTGGTGGAAAATAACATTTCAATGACTGACTTTAGTGGTAATGAATCAGTACCATCGTGCACAAGTACAACCGCAATATAAAACAGACATTTAACTCACTCTCAATCATTATTACGTTTGCTCCTTTTTTTAATAACAGTACTATTTTTGACAAGTTGTATTTGTTTTAGCTAACATAAGTCAAGGTCAATTGCTGAATCTCACTTGCATCCTACGGGTTGGACACACGCATTCGTGAATTTCGGCTCAACTCTAAGTCATCAACCATATTAGCAATTGATAAATCTTAATTAATTAGCAATATTACCACATTTGATAGTTTCAAAACACGCGTGAAAAATCGAAGCGTTAATTAGTCTTGAGATAAGGACAGGTTTTTTACTATCAGACAAGCAAGTAGAATAAAAACGGCTAAAAGGGCTACTTTTGAGTACTCTCGGTTTTCTGCTTTTCAGTTCAGTCTCGTTCATATCAACTACTACCACTGGAATGCCTATGGCGGGACCTTGTATCCCCATAGAAATTGTTATTTGTTTATTTATTTTCTTTTAAATTGAAATGAAACATTGACGAGAATTATTTTTGGATTTGAACACAAAGAGAATTTTGGAAACGTTTGAATTTTACACTTAATTCGTTTGTCTTATAATCTTCTCTCGGAAACCTCTCGGGAATAGAGGAGCTGTGACTTATGACGATGTGGAAAGCTCGGAATTTTTTCTGAGCTTTTTGTTCAGGTGCGTCCCTCCCCCCACCCCTGTTTCAAAAGAAACTATAACGTTGACTATGGTGATGCTATGACGTAAACCATTGACGAAACTATGACGTAAAAAATACAATTATGGTTCGTTCTCACTGGTACCAGGGGCATTTTGTGTATGGGTACGTAATAGGCACTAAGTAATGACTTTGACAAACAATGGACAAAAACAGCAATATCATCGGGATATCCCTTTTAAGAGGAATTTTACTTTCATTTTTGCCTCTTCCAGCTTTCGGGTCCGACTATCTCGAAGCCTGAAACAGGCTAGTTTCACAGAGATACTAAACATAGGCTGGTTATTCAACAGTTAATGAATGAGGCTGAGTATCTTATGAAGAATTATGGAGATCGAGGAGGGTGTTATCCGTCGAGGCCGTAGGCTGCTCGCTGGCAATTATACTGAGGGGCCTTGTAGAAAATAAATTGAATATATTAAATCGTTTCTGAACAGTGTTTCATTCCATGTGGTCAGTAAAGGCCCGAGTAACACCCTCCTCGATCTCCATGATTCTTCATAAAATACTCAGCCTCATTCATTAATTGTTAATGAGAAGAATAGTTTTCTCGTATGACGCACTTGATAATTCTCAAGCCTTTATTCAGCGCCTAATATTTTTCTATTAACTTTTCTTATTAACGTCTGAATTTTCGCCGCCTTTCATGATCATAGAAACACCTGTTAAAGGTTTTTTCTTTTCTTCCTGCACAGGTTCATTAAGACTACAGTTAACCATGAAAACTAAACAGTTAACAAAACCTAAAAAAAAAGCACTTAACAAAACCTTCTCTCTTGACAAAACCTAAAAAAAGGCACGTTTGAAAAGGTTTTGTTATCTATAAAATAATTAATTAAAAGCATTTAATCCTGCATTTCAGACTAAAAATAGATCCGCTTGACGAGTTCTCTCTTTAAGAGCCTCTTAATTAAAGTTTTAGGCATCCTTTACTTCATATCTAGTAATAAAAATAGGCAGCATGACATAAATGAAGCATCTATTGATCTACTTCCTCAAAGGATTCGTTAACGAACAATTAAGTGTTTGTCTTTAGTTATAAAAGACCGAAAATAGATTTAATTCATGGCGGGAGCTTCTTTTACTTGCTCATAATTAAGCGTAAGCCTTCCTTTTATGGGCACTGAGAGGTACTGACACTAAAATAACTAAAATATGGCTAAATATAGCAAAAAAAAAAAAAAAACCAAAACCAAAAAAAAAAAAAAAAAAAAAACTTGATTTTGGCAATATAGAAAAATGTAAAATCCCGTAGATTTCTTAAAGTAGCGCACATACCATTTTATATTACCCCGTTATATGTTTTCAATTGATAAGTGGGAGCGATCTCAAAATGATTTTCCTTACTTGACAGAGATGGGCAATTTAAAGACGACCCGCAATAGAAAGAAATGAGTACTGCACAAACAAAACTAATCAATGAGAGTTTTCCACCTATCTTTTCAGCTGCAAGACTGTCGGTACCATTGAATACTGACATCAGCAATTAAGGATTTTCATTAATGTTTCTAGTAGTCTTTTGGAAAGAGGTAAATTATCAGTTATCAGGCAAGGAATAAACTGCACTTTGTGGGCGGAAGGAAATGCAATTGTTTTAGTCTCTTAAAGAGAGATGGACGAACAATTGCAACTTAGAATAGAAGTAACTAATGACCAGTAGACGACAGAAAGGCGTCGTATTAACGAGTTTCCGTGAACCTTTTCAATTCACTCTCAGAAAAGATCAATTATTCTATTAAAAACCCGCGCAGTGGTCGGGTTAATTAAAACATGAGTTTTTTTTCGTTGATCCAATATCTTGCCGTTATCTTTGAGAAATATAATATTTCCTAAACTCCAATTTGAGCGCTCTGACGGGATATCAATTCTCCGCCGGTTTCCTTTAACTAAGTTCCTTTCGTGCCATAAGATTTTAAATGCTGGAAGAAAAAGTTTAAGTGTAATTTGGCTTGATTTTGGACATATCTGCTTTAAACGGTTATGTTAAATGACAGCAAATAAAAGAAAAAAGTTATTTTTACTGGGGCCTTTCCTGACCACATGGAACGAAACACTGTTCAGAAACGATTTAATATATTCAATTTATTTTCTACAAGGCCCCTCAGTATAATTGCCAACGAGCAGCCTACGGCCTCGACGGATAACACCCTCCTCGATCTCCATAGTTCTTCATATGATACGAAAGCCGAATTCAATAATTGTTTTATTATTCATTCGAAATAATTCCTAGTTTAAAAACAAAGCTAAAACATGCTTACCTCCATCGATGTTTAATTCACCTTCGATAGTGCACGTTTAGGGTTGTTCAGCTCCGCAAATATGTCGCCCTTAGAGTCGTGTTCTTGCTGTTCTTGCCATGTTTTTAGCTATAATTTCGCCTAGTTCTTACCCTTGAAACGAGTGAAATGTCCGCCATTTTTTGTTTTCACAACCAAAACAACTCAACCTCGTCCCCAGGTCTTCTCGGTGAACGGTGCCTTAACCTGCAAGAACGCGGCATTTTTTGACGTCATTCCCTCGTTAAACACAATATTCTTCCAAATTTGGTCATCAGTAACTGGTTATGGTGAATTATGCGTGTGCTTTTAGCCAATCAGAATCGCTGAAATATTTTGAATGAATAATAAATTACTTTCTGTCACACCACTAAGTTTTCTTGAAGGTGCTGTTAGCTAATCCTAGGGAACGGTTAAACGATAAACAATCATAATATTTTTGACAATAACCAAAACTTGCATAAATGCGATTCCTTTTTCTCTCTGGGGATTCAAAGGGCTTGCCTCTTAAGGCGAGAATTAAATGGCGATTTTCCCACGATGAAAATGAACGAGAGCTATAGATTTGATTCGTAATGTATTAATGATATAGATCTCATTTTTTAAGTAACAATGTGATTGTCTACACTTTCCTTCCAAGGAACTTCGTGAAAATTGTTATCTAATCACTACCGCTAAGTTTTGCAATATTTTTGTAAAAACAATTTAAGGAACCTAAGAATAGGAGTATATAAGAAATCAAAAAGGATTTATTTTCTTAAAAAAGAAATCAAATTATATGAGAAAATAACCTTTAACTAAACGTAAAACTCATTGCTCACAAAATAGTTTCACTACCGAGTCCTGTGAATATACTGCAAAACCTTGCCCGCGTCGGTTAAAACCTATATTTTTCCAAGTCGGCCTGAATAGGTTCTTATAAGATTTTTTGTACAAGACAAATTAAGCCTGTTTCGATTCTTAATGGTCTTATGATGTTCTTTAAAGATTGATGCACGAATGAATTTTTTCATACAGATGAAGGGTTTGCCTTTATATTCACTAATTAATTCAGACTTAGATTCATGAGTCTAATGTCTGCACTCCTTCAAAATCAGTTCAGTTATATATCCTGAGACATATTAAACTGAACTGTATCAACGCAAAGGGGCACATTAATATTTCCCAGTCCATATAATTATTTCTTGCTCACCAAATATAAACCTTTTCCATTTTTTTAGCCTGTAGATTCTTAATCCGCAAGGTTGTTATATTCGACACTTTACTACATTTCCATTATTTATTTTAAAATATATTTCGAAATCAACGAGGCTCTTGACTTTTAACGCACATGAAATACATTTGGTACAAAAACACTGTTCGTAGCATTTGATGTTATCAATAGTGTTGCGGACGATGTCTCTCCTTCAGTATAAACGTTGTGCGTTGTATGGCTTACCTCGTATAATTGTTACAGAGTAATTACAACTAAGTATGTTTTATTTAATTATGTGGCAAGGAGCCGACAAAAAACCCTCACACTCTTTTAAAGTTACTATCAGTTTTAGTATTGCTTGTTGTAAGTGTATTTAAATCGAGTGGCCAAAGGACAGAATGTAAAGTTGTGACACAGTGAAGTACTATGAGTTATCACAACGGAAGCATGGAAGCATGACAACTCAGAAAGAGAACAAATACACTTATGGCGGATTTGTTCGTTTGAAAACTGAAAAAAAGCTGTTTTCATACGAAAATTTATACTAAAGAGGACGTCAATTTTCCTTATAGGCCTAAATCGCAATTCATTATTACCATCTTTGTATCTCATCTAAAGGGCCTTGATAGACGGAGTTGACTGGCCATTGCAATGAGTGTTAGTATTAACAGTTAACCGTTTAGTGTTACTGAGAACAAATTAAAACGAAACTTAACAAGAACGTCGCAGACCCTACCCGCGTAGCAAATGGCAGTACAAACCCCTTGTGCAAACAATGTCAATAAAATGCAGATCAATTTCAAATTTCAAAGACCTGACTGAAATTTGTCGCCTTACTTACTTTAGATACTGTGAGCAGCATAGGCAAGTCAAAATCAGTCTGCGTTTTGAAGAAAGTTGGGAGCCTGCACAAGTTGTAAATTTTTTTTTCCTTTTTGTAGATAAATTTTTTCTACATGTGCTGCATACAAAAGAGTGGTTTAAGTCTTAGGTGTTAAAAAGACTGCGAAGTTTCGTAGTTCTAATTTCCATTTACGCTACCTTTTTACCCACGCAGGTGATTTTTTCTTTTTTTTAGCTTTGTTTCAGTGTTGTTTTTGCTTTTTGCTCTCTTTCTCTGTTTCATTAGCTTGGCTTTACTGATTATTTTGTTCAGTGCTGTTCCAACGTTTTAGCTTTACCATAAAAGTAAAACTGACTATAGTAGGTTTTGCATAAGCTACTTCTAGTGCTGTTTATTTCGTAAATACAATTCTAATCTCTATAAGTAAAACTCCAAACGATTCCAGTGAACAAAATTTTATTGTGAGAAAACCCTTTGTTTCCTTCAAATTTGGCGTCAACTACTGTGTTTTAATACGTATGAGGATAAACAAGGCTGTCATCTATTTTGGGTTTGTGTGGGGTATGTTGAAAAATTCTTAGGCTAAAATTATCCCCTGTAGTGAAGTGGACACCTTCAGGACTTTCTCTTGGGTCCTCTCCTTCTTTTTATTAATGGGGTACAAGCGTTTGTGGTCTCACTGACGTCTGCTAAAACAGGTTTTGCTTTGCAAAAGCGTTTTTTATTGCTTGAAAAGAAACCTTTTGACTGATTTCTTCATGATTCAAAGGTAATTTCACTAAAAATCATTTAATTTTTATTTAAAGGCACACTATTACATACAGTCGCCATATCTTGAAGAACCTCTAAGTCCAAACTAGGTTCATTCGTTCGCCTTTTTCATAATCTATTACGGCTTTAATTTCTCTTCGTTTTCGTTTTGCTTAAATTGAAGCAAGCCACTTCGTTGTGGTTTCTTCTCTACAAAGCTCTTTATGAAAAAATCCCATCATTTTAAGAGTAAAAAGGCCCCTTTTAAAATACTTCTTTTTTGTAACCTATTGCAATTTAGCTAGACAAGGTCCACCGAGGAATGCTCCGACTATTATAAATTATTTTTTCAATTTCACTTTATTTCAACTTTTACAACAGGAGAATTTTTAATGTCGGATTTACATTTTCCATGCGGTACATTAAGTTTATATAAATGTCTAATATCTATAGTCTTGACACTTAATTTCTTTAGATGAATGTTTGGCAGCTCCAGGTGAGAGTAAATGATTTGGCCAGAAGACACAATAATCGCCCACATATCGTGCCTAAGGGGAGTTTTTCCATTAGTCTCAATAATTTTGCTTTGGCAATAACCGCATTATTACAGTTGCCACGTTTGTCGCGTAAGTTATAACAATGTTCTGAGGCACTAATATCGTACACAGCAATGAGGGGCCTGAGTTCTAGATCTATGTAGACTACATTATCTAGTACGTATGTCAAGACTGTCGGGTTTTTTGTTTAATGCCCACAGACGTAAATAAAGGAGCAAATATAAAAGAAGCAGAAATACGGGAATTTACATGGCTAAACTTTGACGAAAACAAAGCTCTTTACAAAATTGTCTTTAAGGAAAAACCGGGGGAGGAAATTAAGGAAGTTTCAGCTTACTGAGCCTGGAAACGAGCTCACTGCAGCTGTTTAAAGTTTCCACTATTAGAAGATGTCATTTTTTGTTTTTTTTGACAGACCGAGGTCAGTAGAGCCTTTAATTTTGACACATCGAGGACGGCTGCTTTTTCTTGATTTACTTGAAAACGGTCCGTGTATTTTCAAGCGTAATGAAAATGCTGGGCAAGACATTGCTTTAAAAGAACGAGCATAATTTAAGGAGTATTACTACACAGTGTATTTAAATAAAAATACAGCTAAGTGGATAGAAAAAACTAAGACTTTTTTTAGATGTTGGAGAATACTTTATATTCTTTGGGTGAAAAATTTTAGTAATAAAACTGTTCTCTATATTTGGTGAAGTGTTGACAAGTCATTTACATCTAAGGGAAACCGTAAAAACAAGTTACAGCTATTTGGTTTTCTTAGTGGATTTTGTTTGTCCTCACAGAAACTACAAAGAACACTACCATTTAAAGTAAAAAAAAAATGTTATACGTTTTGCACTTTAAACTACAGGAGATTTTCGTTGAAAAATGGTTTACAAAAGTGGAAGGATTTATTTGGGCGTGTGACATGCGTTAAAAAATTATAATTTAATTCAACAAAACAAAATAATGGAAATGGAATAATGTCGTTGGTAATAGCTTTAAAACCTTAAGGAGGAGAAAGAACTTACAATTTGTCAATTTAAAAACGTCTAGAAAGGAAAAGTTTATTTACCGGAGAAAGGATGTTGGATTTATCAATCCTAAACATTCGCATATTGGTAAATTCCCTTTTTTAATTAAACATTTTCAAAACATTTAACCGTGAATCTAAGTGGAAACCTCAGACCAAAGAGAAATAACATTATATAAAGACTTCAAATACTGTAGATTTGAATACCACCTCAACAAAAGGTTTGCGACAGCTGACAAAAAAGCCTGATAAGAACTATCTAGATACCGTTTACAAGGTTTCGTATGCCGATATGTAATTTTTATCCAGGGACAGATTGAACATAGTTTCAATGTATGCCTTGTGCCCAAAAATATCTTGGCATGTCGCGAAAAGCGATAACAGTTTTTGATCCGACAGCTAAGTAGTTAGATTGGGTCAACTGAAAATTTCTTTTGTTTGCTACCTTCTAGATGACAATCTCACAGCTGCCTGAACAAACTGCGAGAAACAACGCGTACACTCCAAACTGACACGCACAAATAATCCCCAAGATCTACTAAAATAGACACTTTTTAAAGGGGGAAAGCAGATCAACCTTAAGCTTAAGCATACAATTGACTACAACACGTTAATCGCCACAGGGAGGGCAACAAAAGGACTTTTTGTATTATTTGAAGCTACAGCAGGTGATGATATCTTGTCGTTCTAATTCTAAACTTAAGCCGCAAGGCATAATATTAAGTTTCGCTCCTCACTTGGAACTAACCGACTAATAACTAACTGTTGTTCATTTATTGTGTTGACCCACTAAGAGGCGGAAAACATTTCTCTTTAAGAAAATCGGAAGCTAGTTGTTAAGGTTACGGGAAAATCAGGTTCAAGCATTTGTTCAGGGCATGGTGAGTTGTATTATATAGACTGCTCTATCATTGACTTGCGTGTTCCCGTTACCCCCTAGCACATTGCAGATGGAGTTTTGCCGGCAGCAGGCGAGGGAAAATTATTAGCAAGACGATTTAATTGGAAACAAAATTGTCTACTTTTTATTTGATGAGTGGCCTCGCACAGGTTATCCGGATGATAATGTTTGCAGTAGATGCTGATAGGCACGGCGACTGGTACATCTGCTTTAACTAAATATGGAATTGAAAATTCATCAGAATTAGCCAGTCAACCAGCGAAAAGTGGCTATAACGAGAGGCTAAATTGGCTTTCCCGCATTCATCATCGCTGCTCATTTCCATCTGCACCAATCGCGACTTAAGGAGTTTGTTGACGTCAACTGATCGCCGCAGATCTCGGTTAAATTAAAGTGAACCCGCGTGGATACTTGAGAGGTTATCAGTGGTAAACTTGCTTCCTTTTGAGGAATGGTTATAAAGGTCGCTCTCTGCGTTTAAAAATCAGTTCTACCAGAAATGCTGCGGGACTGACATTGTCCTTGAAAACGTTAGTGAATCACAACGTGGAACAGAAAGCAACATCATTTGTTGGTCTCTACTGTAGCAAGATTCGAATTCTGTGCTGTATTGGTACGACTGGCATTGTGTTTCACTCTACATGCACTAATTTCCCGGAACTTAGCTACCGCAAGAATCGAAAAAAAAAAGGAAATTAAAACAAATAAATAGAAGAAGAAAATACGAAAGTATGATGGGCACGCCGCCGTTCACGAACTTCACCAATATGACCTCCGCTACTCCAACTTCGCTGCCGTTCGTTGATCCCTTATTCATGGAATACACTAGGGTCGTGTTTTATGCTATCATAAGCATCGTGGGCACCATAGGAAACACTCTGGTAATATTGGCGTATCGAAATCCTCGCATGCGAAGCGTCACGAACCTTTTTATAGCAAACCTAGCAGTCGCGGACCTGACCGTGTGCCTAATCAATACCCCAGTGGCAGTGATATACTCCATCTTGAAACGTTGGCCGTTCGGTCTTTTCCTTTGCAAGTTGATAAATTATATTCAAGGAATAACGGTTTTCGCCTCTGTCGGGACGTTGATGGCCATTGCTGCAGACCGGTATCGAGCAATCGTACATCCATTACTGCCCAGAATTCGCACACGACACGCCATCACAATCATCGTCACGATTTGGATTGTAGCTTCAATCATTCCTTTCCCACTTTTTTTGTACCAAAAAGTAGACGATCGCAGCATTTTCTGCTCCGAAGACTGGCCGAGCGTGGAGTCTCAAAAAATATACACTGTGTTTCTTGCAGTTGCACAGTATGTAATACCTTTAACTGTCATATCGTTGCTGTACTTCCTTATTTGCCATAACCTTAACTCTTCGCAGGCCACCACACAAGAAGGTAAGTGTCGGCATATAGATACATATTTTTTTTCTTTATTTAATTTTTCTTGAGACTATAATTATTACTTTTAAAATTAAATAAAGCAAAGCCCTGCTAGCTAACGGAAAATGAAAATACGGACCTTGGGATGAAACGGAAACATAAACAGCGACGCAAATTATTTCTTGCTGGAAACCAAAAGTAAATTTTAATATGGAGATTTGTTATGAAGCAATCAGTTAACTTAGGAAACGGATTTCTACATCCACTAATAGCAAAACGCGTGAATTTTTTTTCCCTTATTTACACTGCGTCTTCTTTAGCTAAAACTATTCGGTGAAATAAAAAACAATTCAGTTCGTTTAAAGAAAAGTTGTGCTTTCACTGTTTTTGCTTTGTAAGAAAACCATTTTAGCTCAAATTAACGTTTTTGAATGAAGTTCCCTGTCCCCAAAATATAGGATTTCATTTCACTACAAGTCGTAGCTAATTCAAATAGTCTGTTTGGAATTTATAATCCATAAACAAATACTCTAAAGCCAAATTTGCATTCTAATGATAGTCGTGTTTTTTCCCCTTTTTTTGGCTTATGGATACCCAGAGAGAATTTGACAGATTCAACATCTGTTAAAACAAAAATTACGTTTTTAGACGCGTTCAAGAAGGTTCTGGCGAAAATGTTAAGAAACAGCTTTGGGAACTGAAAAGGCTAAACAGTTTAACTACCTATGATGGTATCCGGGGAAACAGTATAACAACGCTCTTCTAACACCACCAAGTCAAAAAGAAACTAATGAAGAACTGAGACGTTTAGTCGTGTGGCACTTACTTGGCGAGTTTCATTAAAAAGAGCGTTTTCAGTTCTTGGTCGAGTTTGATTTTGGTGAGAAGGTGCCTAGTGAGTGATTGAGTTATAACCATTTAGGTCGTCGCCGATTTTCACTCATGTACATGTAGATAAATTCAAGCAAATTTAATTTGGCGAGTCTCATTAAAAAGAGCGTTTTCAGTTCTTGGTCGAGTTTGATTTTGGTGAGGTGCCGGGTGAGTGATCGAGTTATGACCATTTAGGTCGTCGCTGATTTTCACTCATGATACATGTAGATAGATTCAAGCAAATTTAATTCAAAGGATTTCAGTGTGTCCAGCAGCACTTTGGAGGAAACGAGCGGAAAGGTTTCATATAGCAGAATTGTTCTTTGGACAATAAGTGTCTTTACACCCATTTCGTTCTATCTCATTGCATTTTAATGACATTGAAAGCATTAGAAAATGAGTATGGTAAATAAGTTCTAAAACGAGAAAGTAAACAACTGATTTGTGGAGAATGGCATAAAAGCAAAATCGTGAGTATTTTGTGGTCGACTGGCGAGGAAAACCTAAAATATAGATCAGGCAGTGTTAATTAATTTTTTAAAAGCATTGTTTTATAAGAAACCGGAATCTAATGTCAAGCTGTCTCTTTTTTCTTAATGAATGCAAAATTTCCTTTTAATTTACGGAAATCTTCTCGAACTGAAATTTATTAGTGATTGAATCGACGAAAACAAACTTTGCAAATTAACACAATAAATTATACCCGGGTCAATTTTTTTTTACGTCATTCCCTTGGGAGACTGAATTGTCAGTGAGTTGTTTTAAATTTTAAACAGATAAAGTTTAAAAGTAAAACTTCCTCGTCGTTGCGTGGGTTCCAAAAAGGTTTAAATTAAGTTTGAAAAACCATTAGTTTTCTCGAAAGAGGAAGAGATAAAAAAATCCTTCATAAAAGCTGATTAATTTTACTACTCTGCGCGATAAGGAAGGGAAATTCTTTCTACCAGCAGGGTTAAACATTTACGCCGGAAGGCACGCTCGCCTAAGGGTTCAGTGAAAGCCTTATAAACCTAAATCACTGCGTTTTTTATAATTCATTTTCGTATGTTTACAGCAAAACTTTTCCTAACTTAAGTTGTGCATGTAGCTCAGGTATGAGGATATACCAGTCAAGTGAAATTTTAAATCATTATATTTATTAACCTTTTGTGACTCCATATCTCAGTGATATTTGATTTAGTTTCACAGCCTTTTTGCATTAGCAAGCAAGTGCATTCTGAATGTTTCGGAAACTCATGCTGTTAGTAACTGACAAAAAAAATCTGCATTGTACTTTTGGACTTTATGATATTTTGACGCTCATTGAAAGCCACTCTTAGCAGTATAAAAATGCGCAAAGACCTTCAGTCTCTACTGATTCAAATGCAACACGGGTGACATTTTTCCACGTCTTAAAATTTTTCCACTAAACATTTTAATTTTTTTTCCTCAATAAACTGATAAATTTGCATATTCATAAATATGTTATATTAATGAAAGCACAAAATTTTCCGCTGTAATTTCGCCCTAAAACCATTAGCTGGCTGGCAATCACAAACAGTGAAAGAAATTGGATATAAAAATAGACCAGTCATTCATAATTAAAACTGCCGTAGGAACATAGCAGCTCTGATAACTCTCTTAAGGTTTATCGAGGTGAAAAAGATACAATAAACTTAGCTAGATTTTATTTCTTTCCATTTCCGGTTAAAACTTGAAACGATCCCGACGGAGATAGTTCCTTTACTCTTTTGAATAACGGATATCTCGATGCCTAATTTTCTCTATATTAATAAAAACTGCCTTCCAATTACAAACAATTTTCTATTACCACCCGCGGATAAAGGCATTTCCATTGAGACGTTCATCTAAAGTTAATTAATGGAAGTAAATAGCACATTAATTAAGGGAGGGCTTTGAGGAACAATTGATTAATAATTCCTCGACATATTTTATCAACAGTTTTGAAGTTTTAAAAACTGAAACGAGTTATTTAGCTCTGTTATACGTCAGTAGTCGGTTTTCTGTTGGTAATTAAGTTCATCCTCTATTAATAATAAAAATACATTTCTAGTTTTTAAAAAGCATGACAAAACAATTTAGATGGCAATCTTGCGCGAACTCTACTTAAGCTACTATTTTGTTTTAATTCACCACAATAAAAGACGAAGCAAGAACATTACAGCCTTGCCTTCCGTGTATACAAGACCATATAGGATGCACACGGTTTATAATCCATTTTTCTCCAACACAGTTCTTAAAGGCAATGCTCCTGGTTAAAACTGATTCGTTTGATAACAAAAAGCAGTAGTTTTTATCATGAATTCTTAATGTTGTCAACCAAAGGTCACTGAGCAAAACAAATGGATGTACAAAATGGACCTGGAGGGTTTACGATACTTTTAATCAGTCAGTCGTTTCAGTCGTTTATAAGCATTAGTTCATAAAACTAAACTGAAATGAAGCTAAAAATATCATTAATGACCGTTATAGATGAAGGGAGATTTATTTTTTCTAGTTTTGGCTTTACACTGAATACTAAAACGCGCCCGGAAAACAAATAAAGCCAGTAATTAGTTCGTGGAACTTTGAACTAAGAATATTGAACTAAAATCAGCCTAACAAAGGAGAAACTTCGGACACTCGTCGATGGTTTAACCTGGGGGGGGATACTCCTACGAATTCTTAGTGGGGGTGTGCCGCCCGATTCTTCAAATCCTGACCTGATTTCAGACCAAAAAAATGTCATTTTTTACACCCGCTTTCAGACTAGACCTCTAAAATCCATACCTGTTTTCAGACCTGCGTCTTTAGGTAGAAATTAATAAGTTATCATTACTTATATTGGAGCGCAAACAACAAAATTATTCAAATCCATTTCGAATTCACATATTTCTCTTTCTTTCTTACTCATTTGGAATTAAAACGATAAATACGTCTTCATAAACTCCCGTAGTTCCCTCGAAAACCATACCCGATTCCAGACCAAAATGGGCAAAGTGGATACCCGTTTTCAGACCGAAACGTCGCAAAAACCCTAACCGATGGGGCGGCACATACCTAAAAAAAGTATACGGTTTATATGAGCCCGGGTGGTTTAAGAATTCGATTTTATGGTGAGGCATGAAGGAGAACAACAAAAACATTAATGAACGCGTTTAATTATTATCTTTTCTTGTCTCGCCTTTTAAAACAACTTTTGACAAAAAGCCTGGTTCTCTGATATGCCGCCGAGCTACCTGCGATACAGCTGCCGATACTGCCTGCGACACCGTTCCGATATGAGAACTGAAGTTGGCGGCAACAGAGATTATGTCAGTCTGTGCAGCCGGCACTCCGGCGAAGTTGATTCGAGTTCGACTTCGCAGGCATGCCGGAGGTAAAGACTGACATGGCCTCTGTTGCCGGCGACTTCTGTTCTCATATCGGAGAGGGGTCGCAGGCAGTACCGGTGGCTATGTCGCAGGTACTTCGGCAGCATAAGAGAACCAGACTTAACAGAGCGCCTTAAGATGACAATAAACAGTCGAACATCAAAATTGTAATATCCTACCATTCATTCTTTTGTGTTTGTTATGTAATCCTAATAAAACAGGGGCACCCAACGTCAATTTTTGGAAAATATCTGTTCGGAAGACGATTTGAGATCTAGAATTTTCGGAACATTTGTTGTAAAATTTCTTGCTTGCCTGCCTCTAAAAAATGGTATAATTACTTATTTTTAACGGGGTTTTACCCTAAAAAGGTCACCTACAATTTTCGGGGCCTTTTTTCCGGTTGAAATTTTTGAAGGTAAGTTTTGATCCCTATAATTTTTGGATCACTAAACTTTGAGCTAGGAAATCAGAACAGATGAAGAATTTCATTTGAGGGGATAAAAATATGCCCGTATTTACCGTTTAAATACTATATACGTTCAACAACGCTACGTTTAAGTGTTTTCGAACCCCTCATAAAACAGCCAACATTTCGGGACGCAACAAAAAAGTTTCCCTTTAAAGGAACGAGCGCAGAAATTCCATACCGATGACCCTTCACTACCCAGATAAGTCGGCTTTAGAACTCTTGACTCCTGTCAGCTTCTGATTGGTTGAAAATGTGCTTCACCCGATCAGAAGCACAATCCAGAATTGGGTCGTTACGTGTCATCAGTGTGGAATAGACCTTATTTACGATCACTGCCCACCATCTTTGCCCGGCTTTAGGATTGATGGGTTAAAAGCAATCTCAGGTGGTATTTCAGGGGCAAATTTAAACAAGCGACAAAATTTACCAATATAAGAATCGCGGTTGAGTTTGTATATTCCATAAAAACGCCAGAGGATCGAGAGAGCATCAGTCCTTAAGCGCGTCAAAGATGGTGCAGAGGCGGGGAAAACACTAGTCGGTCGCGAAATGTCGGCAATTTTCTCAGGCTAACATAGCAGTAAAAACCTGTTTATTCAACTATTTGTAGGTGCTACCCGAACAAGAAAAAGCGTCATTCGCATGTTGGTTATAGTCGTTGTGCTATTCCTCGTTTCCTGGCTTCCATTCCATATCATGACCTTGTACCAAAACTTCAAACCTCAAAGTCAGCGAGAAATCTTATTTTTCCAAGTTTTCATGTTTAGCCTTTGGCTCATGTTCTCCAATAGCTGCTACAACCCCATTGTGTACGCAGTCTGCAATCGTAACTACAGGCGTGAGTTTGGAAGACTACTAAGGTGAACATTTTTACAACTCTGTTTTTGGCCAAAATGATTATGAGATGGCCTTCTCAGTTCTTCTCTATCTTTATTATAATTTCATACATACTCTCTGGACTCATTTTCACGACCGAAATTTGATTTACGTCTACGGCCTTCTTTTACATGTGCTAATGCCAATTACTCTAAAGCGACGAACAACAGTATTCAGGTTGCACATATTTGTGCACAAAACGTAAAACAGTATACAGTCCT